GAAACAATATGTCATAGAATAGAGAAATGAAGATCACCGACCAGGGTTACTACTCATAATTTTATTTTCGAACGTTCAGTTAAATCACAGAATAGATACTCTGACGGAATTCGATTTTCAATTATCGGAAATCATCGACTTTATGTTGATGATATACACTACCTTGCACTGACGAGTGACCAAACAGCCCGAAACCGGTCTGCAAGTGTTGTCCAATAATTGAAAATCTATTGCGGCAGTTGTATCGCCAACAGCATATGCAGGAGTAACTTCTGTGAAGAATCATGCACTGACACCTGTCGGATATAATCCAACGGCCTTCGTGGTATTAGCCAGGGGAGTAGTTGTTTTCTGAGAGGTGTCAGTCCATTAACGTACTGTGTAGGGAGTTGAGACTGGCCTGAACGAATTGTCCTTAGATAATTTCACAGAATAGTAAATGACGTTCTGTGTTCAAATACTTCGGTAATAAATTTCGTAATTTTTGTATGTGTATTTTTAGAAACTTGAATTGACCTGGCAGAACTAAAACCCACGATTCATGTCTAGAACTAGACGATATTTGGCCTAGAATTGAAACACTTTGACAAGTTTGACGAAAGCTGTCAAAATGTACTTGAAAACGGTAAACACCCCTAAGATGCTCAGAATACTGGAACTATGAAAATGTAATAGGTTATGCTTTAGCGTATTGAAGATATCTAATAGTAAAAGATTTTTCACGAAACTAACTGCTACGTTACCGGAGTCTCAAAAGTTTAGAGCACACCTCGGGCGTTTCTGGTGTCAACATGTGCTCGACCTAATTTGACAGTGACAGATGTCAGTTTGATCGTAATTTTACTACCAATGACGTTTTACAAAGGTAGAATTGATGGCGTTTTTGGGTTCGCAGTTCGGACGATTCTAGCTAGAACGTTTCAAAATTGTTAACCAGCTGATTATTGCGAGTAGATTCGAGCAAAACTGTTCAAGTCTCAACTGGACGACTACATTTGACAGTTCTAAAACCGTTTAAATAGCAAATCCGACTGTGGCTTAAGTTTTTGATGCTTGTGACTCATTGATTGTTACTGTGTTTATTATATGTTATGTGGTTTTTATTATTCCTCTTTATTAGCAAATAATGCTCTTCATAGTACAGTCTTATAAAATACAAAACAATAAAAAAATATATAAAATTAGCGACAAGTCACATTTTATAAATAGAATGGATAGAACTTTCTCCTGAATAGATTGTTATATCAAATTCAGTAGAATGTCAATAAATATGGTATATTCTGGTGATATATTTGAAATAGATATTTCTAATTTCATTCGGAATGCAAAATAATTCTTGAAATTTTCAAAAATTATCCTGGAGGAAGAAATATATTTTATACATGCTCTACCCCAATTGAAAAACTCAATCGGTTTAGCACTTGAAGATTCGCGAGAAATTTGATAAATTCTTTCTGGTAACTACCTATCTTTTCCACAATACACATTTTGAGTTGAGCTGATAGGGCATTATGGAACGTGTGTTGATGAACATTAAATTTTTGAAAAATGTCACGACCAATTTGTTCCAAAGTGACTCCTTGTTCACTTGAATTTTACAGAAAAAAAAAATCACAAAATGGTATCAAACACAGATTATACGACGTTGTCATGTTGGCGGGAATGATAGACGTGGAATAAGATTAGTGCCAACAAAACACTTAGGAAAGGAGTTATGAATGTTTGATGTATTTTTTCTTTCTTTCGGCCAACCAACTGCCTCTTGTGAGGAATCCACAAAAGTCTTCAAGATTCTCTTTTTTTTTGTTCAAGGATGGAGAAGTAGAAGGCCAAAACCTTTCTATCCCAAAAATTATCTCCCGAAAAGACGCCCCTTTTAAATTTTTCAAGATACTTGCCTCTTCCTATAATTTTCGGATAGAGGTTCAAAAATAAAAACACTAGAGAAAATTCAGTGGTTTATTTCTGTTATATGCAAGCAAATATAATTTAATACACATTCCCATCAATCACGATCATTGAGAGAGACGATATATGAGCATAAGCAATATTTTCTAACGCTAGAATTATCATGTATCATATATCAAATCTCCAAATGTTTTCAAAATACAAATTATCAATCAAATTCACTGCCTAATTTTATCACAAATAATACTACCCCATTTAACAAGCGTAACATAACAACATATTCCTAAAAACAGCACCGCAAATCAAATATTCAACAGAGCACCCTTACAGTAACATAGTTATACAACATTCATCTATAACAAATATATCTCCTGTGACTTGGAATGAAAAGACTTGAGGTGAGTTTTGTGTTTTCCATATTAACATAAGTAGAGTACAGTATATCCCCAAATAGTAAAATGTGCAACTTCATTTCATAAAAATGCTCAGAATGAATACATTTTCAAGTAATTGAAAATAAAGAGGGTTCCGAGTCACCACTTTGGAAAATGAAACATTAGAAAGTAGTAACCTCATCATATTTTCCTTCTGAAAAAACTTATTATTCTTTCAATTATGCCTGTTGACCGGCAAGAAAAATGCATCTGACAAAGAAACTGAAACCAAATTTTGAAATAAACTTTTTTTTCAGTGTCTGTGAAACATCCGATCAAAAATAATCAATACATGACTGGTTTTGCAGTCGCAGATAGATAAAAGCTCCCAACTGTGTCCCTTCTAATACTTTCAATAGGAAAATAAATATTTCGAAATAATCTCAAAACATTCATCTCCCCACCAAAGAAACTATACCGTAGTTTCTAGTAAATGCCTGCCAGAGAACAACTACTTTCTCAGATGATACTGGGACTCATTAAAAGTTCTTCTTCTTTTTTTATGGTGTTTGCTTTCCTTACGGCGCATCAGACCCGCATTAAAAGTTATGTTAGACCATAAGATACATAGGAAGACATAATTTATTGTGACAATACAACACATTCCAATTTGAAGTTAGGCATTTCATGATTCTGTAATAAGCAGTAAACTGCCAAAAATTTGAAATAGAATTCAGCTAAAAAATCATTCAGATACATGTATCTAGTGGCCTCGTAATATGTTCAAAGTGAAAGATGTTTATTACTATCTACAAAAAGGGAATTCAGATTTTAAATAATTACAAAAAGCTTCAAAGCTGTATTAGTGACATTTCCAAATGAATGATCAAGCTAAATTATATGCTTGAACAGTAAGGTGTTTGTACTGCTATTCTACATCCTTCTATAACTCAGGTAGATGGGAGTCAACAATCCCCAAAAACAAAACCTGACCAAGCTTCAATTAATTCAATAGTACATTATTACCGTTCTTGATTGTATGGAAATGTTATGAAAATCTGTTTGAAAATAAAACTGTAACTCATTAAAAGTTCTTCTTCTTCTTCTTTTTTTATGGTGTTTGCTTCCCTTACGGCGCATTTGACCCGCATCAAAAGTTATGTTAGACCATTAGATACATAGGAAAACATAATTTATTTGTGACAATACAACACATTCCAATTTGAAGTTAGACATTTCATGATTCTGTAATAAGCAGTAAACTGCCAAAAATTTGAAATAGAATTCAGCCAAAAAATCATTCAGATATATGTATCTAGTGGCCTCGCAATATGTTCAAAGTGAAAGATGTTTATTACTATCTACAAAAGGGAATTTAGATTTTAAATAATTACAAGAAGCTTCAGAGCTGTATTAGTGGCATTTCCAAATGAATTAACAAGCTAAATTATATGCTTGAAACGATATCCCTATTTTCAAAGTGTAGAGTATCTGTACAAGCTTAGGGTAGTAAAAAATAATATTCCAAAATATTGGAAGAAAACTTGCAAGCCAATTAAGTTCCCCACAAGCGACTTCACTTCTTTAATATCACATTTCAATCGTTACGTCATAATTATTACTAAAAACTTCATATAATTCATGTGATTTTTTTACACTTTCTAAAAAACATGAGTGAGTATATATTTCCCATAGAGAAAACTTACGTACACATTAAGTAGTAGGTATATACGTTTCAGTTTCATTACTCAATAGTACAGTGATATAGAGAGATTATATTGAATATAGAAAATAACATCAGGCTATTGAAGGTATCTCAGTATGAGACTAGTTTGACCCAATGAATGGGTGGAAAATTTTTATTGAAATACTTTGCAAAGTTATATTTATACTATATTTGAATGAATGGTAGGGGTGACGAATAAGTCGTCCAAAAGAGATGAGAATGGAAATGAAATAAGTTGAGAAAGACTAAATATGAAATTAGAAAAAAAAACAAATTTGATTTATTGAATAATTTAACAATCATACCGATGAAAGATAGAAACGAAAAGAATACTAATTATACCATTAGGAGGTCTGAAAATATCCTAGGCTACCCACAGATGGCGGTACTAGTATCAAATCGGTATGATTTTCAGTTATTCCACAAACTAATACAGCTGTCGGAGTATTAGTTTGTGGAATAGAATATTTTTAGTGAAGCAACTTTTATTATTTTCAAAAAAATGGATAAAAATGAATTTCGTGTGGTACCAAAGCATTGCTTTTTGGCGAAAAAAATCTGTACACCAGGAAAATCAATCGTTGAGAAGTAATTTGCCAAGTTTAAACGAGGTGATATGAGCACCGAAGACGATGCACGCAGTGGGAGCCCCAAAAGAGGCTGTTACCGACAAAAACATAAAGAATCCACAAATTAATTTTGGATATCTGACGATATCAAAGAAATGTGTTAAGAAATATCGTACACGAATATGTGAGTTCAAAGTGGGTGCCGTATAAGCTCACAATCGACTAAAAACATCAACGAATTGATGATTCTGGGCAGGGTTTGAAGCTGTTCCACCATAAAACCCGAATTTATGCGTCGATATGTGACTTATGTGACAATAAAATCATGATTCTGTTATATTTCTACGTTAGAGTAGAAGTCTCAGATTTCGATCGAAACTATAATGAAAAGTACTTATATCTGCTTCACCTTAAAATTTCACTGATATTGTTGTTGTTGATGGAATGAATTCAAACAAAATGTCATATTAGTCTCATACCAAGAAACTGAGCAATAGTTTAAATAGATAAATAGTTCCGATAACTATATACTAAAAATATCAATTGTTTCCTAAGAATAAAGTGTCATGTCTACATGTGCATACTCATTTATGATTACTAAAGCGTATATTAAAGTTATTGGTTAGGTACTTACTATACCACAATTACTATAATCATTATATCCATAATTATCACAATACTTCATATTACAAATTAAAAAAAATGACTAGAGATGAAAAGGTAATCCCGCATTGTAAAGCTACTCCCAGATAAATTAACGAGTAAAAACTAATAAATGTAACAATAAATATATACAAATTGTCTACAATAAAAATATAGAGCTAAAAATAATGAGAAGCGTAATTACAAAAATATTACCCAAAGATTTTTCCTCTTCACAAAAACTGTAAAAGTACAGTGTTCGACGGCCATGTTTTTATCAAAGACGTATAAACATCCACGCATTTCTTGCTCAGGGGATCCGTTTCAGGAATAGTGCTCAACGGAAATGACTCTTCCTATAAAAGAACCAAATCACTGAAATACTGATTATATCATTTTGTATAGTCGAAGTAACCGATATAGTAATCTTAAAGGTGTCGGCGAAGCCAAAGGCCAAAAAAACCAATACAAAGGAATTATGCCGCAACGAATTAGTCCACGTGGACTGAAGAATTGGCGGTTCATATTGGATGATTTTTACTAACCGAGTTTTATGATTGTCTGAAGAGTCATAAAATTAAATTAGAAGTCATGTTACGGTGACCGACAGAATGTAGCGATGAGTACCGCGTTGTGTGTGTTATTAAAGGGGAAGGGGAACTGCTGGAAGGTAGGGGGCACTATATCTTTTACTTGAACTTTACAAAAGAAAAAAACATTCATAATATAACCTGATCAATAAAAATAGCTGAAGACAGGTTCGTGTAATGATATATATGCACTGCGGAACTACCTACTAAATGATCAAATGGGGAATATTCCTCAATTTGGGTTATTACAACAAATGCAAGTTTGTACAAAATGAAGTTGAGTTTAATTCATGAGTTTTTCAATATTCAAATTGATGTTTCAAATGTTGGGTTTTAATTTTTAAAGGGATTTGTTTCTAATTCACATATTGGCAACAGCGCCTATATCAAGTTGAAATAATTTATACGTACCTAGATATTTTACTTTAAAAAAGGAAAATTATCCTTATAAATCAACAAATTATAGTTCAATACCACCTCCACAAGCCACATAAACAACAGTTGTTTTGTTTTTTATTTATATAGAGTTATATATTTATGTAGGTTAGGTGTACAAAATGTCATATATCACAGAATGTCTCGGAACTCGGAACATAAGTAAACAGAACAGCATGCCTCTGAAATATGTCATCTTTGTTTGTCTCATACAGGTAAAAAGATTCATTGTCCTTTATTAGCTATAAACGATGTTGCCAAATGGTGAAATAGAAACAAATACCTTTAAATGTTGAATGCATTATTTCATTCTTCTTTTTTAAGCATTTAAATAATTTTTTAAAGAAAAAGGTTGAAACGATAAGTTTAAAATGCGTTGTTTTAGAGCTCTTTTATGAAAACTACTTGATTTTCGTCAGGAGGAACATTCCCCATTATGTGTTTAGTGTTGACACTCTCAAAGTTTTGTGTTTTATTTGTAGGTTTTTTTCCAAATTGACTCGTCCTATAACTTTGTAAGTTCCACAGGATCAAATAAATGATTGATTGATTTATTTTTCAGTCTCTAGATTTACGCCTTGTTGTTAATTTTCAGTTCTGGTGTTAGTTATAATCGTTTTATTTAGCATTTACTTTTCAGGTTGCTTTTAATTTTATATATTTCAATATTCGAATGAATTTTGTACCTATTTTTGAATTGAAGTATATTTTTATACATGCATATTTTACACCGTTGTAACTTAAGAGTTTTCCCGTTAATACCAAATAAATAAATGAAGAAAAAAAACCTTTCCCTTTTTAGAAAAATTGCACGTTTGAAAACATTTTGTGAATTAATACACTTACCCTTTCGTTAGTGTATTGCCAAAGATATTCAAGGGTCGATATAAACTTCTCGAGTTCCGTGTTAGTGCTAAAGTATAATATCCAGTCCCCGCTGTACTCATGCACTTCTCTGCAAGCAAATTCCTAAAGAAATGACAAGTTCAACGCAAACATGAAGAATCGAATATACGAAACTCTTTACCAAAATGCACCAGCTCTGTTCAGCCGATGGTAGGCGGAATGATGTTAAATCTAGAATCGAGGCACAGGACAGGGCTTGGATCCCTTTGTCGGGTTCATGCTGACACGCCAAATTCGGCATAAAATTGATGGTGTGAGGGAAAACTTCTCGCACCGTCAAGATGTGATCGTTTGTCAGGAGTAGAGAGCATGACTGTGTGGGATTTTTCTCGCGATGGTGTGTGTATGTCTGAAAAAATATAAAAATGTTAAAAGAACATTTGTTCAATAATATTGTTGAGGGTTCTTTTTTACAAATCTTAAACAATCCTTTTCGATACATCAAAATATATTATTATTAATTCCTTTATTTAGCATAAGCTAATATACAATATGTTTGATCCTAACTATTATTAGGCTAATGTCAAAATATTCAAACAATGAATTACAAATATATACATATATGTGACTGTTTATGATCACAAATAATAAACTTCAACCACTCATATGAAATATCTACACGTGGGTGGGTAATACAAAGGTAAGACAAAAGTATTGATACAGATATAAAGTAACAAACACAACATTTTAAAAACCTTGGAATACTAATGAAGTTATTGAACTCAGGAAATAAAAATCAAATAAAAATCACTCGCTCATTATATGCATTTTCAACCTTCCCTTGAATTGACTTATCGTATATTACAATCTTTGATACCATGATCTAAATTATCGAAAGCCAACATTCCTGCAGGATAAATAGATTTTTCAGTACACCTCTTGGTTTTGGTTCCTACACGGATATTTCATATTTCGGTTGATTCTGGTATTATAATTATGATAATTTTCATTATGTTATTTCTGCTCAAGTAGTTCTGAGATACATGGTGATGCATCTTATACCGTGTGACACAGACTTATGGTACAACCACTTTTTCTCTTTTATTTCTCTAGCGATATTTCTGAAACTTGAAACATTGAATATGCTCACTAGACGGCACTTTTTTGAAATATATGTAAAACAAATTCAACTTCCGGCTTTTCCGGAAATGACAACAACTTTTGAATATCAAATGGGACATCCTATATATTATCACAAGAATGGTTAGGGAAGATCATGAGGAATCCAACGATACCAGGTTTGATGGTTTATCTCTAATGACTACGGAGATATCGCCATTTATTTTATACATAAGCTAAATGAGTAGGACAGAGAAACTTTTTCTGGAGGGTCCATCCAACTCTCTCTCTCTCACACTCATTCAGCTTATGGGTGTACCATAAGTCTGTGTCACACAGTATATCAGTACCATTGTTTGATAGTACACATAGTCTTTTAATGACATCCATTTCAGTTCTCTCAACGTGTTGACTATTAGCATGTCTCTTGGTACACCCAGTATGTTTCTCATGGCTCTATTTTGTTGCTTTTGAAGTCGATCCAACTCGTTTTTATTAGCCGTAAATAGTATTGAAGAACAGAAAGTAAGATGTGGTAAAATTAATGTATTATAAATTGTAATTTTTGACCAACTAGGTAGGTTAGGCGATACTGTCGCCAAAAAATTTACCTTATCGGTGACAGTTTTTATGACTTTCAATACATGTTCTTTGAATGTTACTCCTTGGTCAATCCATACTCCCAAATACTTCACCACTGTTACACTTCCAATATCCTCATTAGCAATCTCTATACTAATTCATATTTTTGATTTCGTCATAACCTGTTTTATCACTCAGTAAGAGAAATTTCGTCTTTTCACTGTTGAGTTTGAGAGTGTTGAGATTACACGATTGACTAACTCTGCAGAGCTTACTATTTAGGGTATCTACCAGCTCATTAACGTTATAAGAATAGTAGTATATTAAAGTGTCATCTGCAAACAAACTAATTTTGCACTCGGAGATCTCGGAAACAAGGTCATTTATATAAAGAAAGAAGAGTAAGGGCCCAAGTGTACTACCCTGTGGTACTCCATTATCATTAATAATTTCGGAGGAGGTGATATTATTGACCGTTGTTAATTGTTTTCTATCACTCAAATAGTCTCTTAATCATTTCAGTACTGTGTCGCTTACTCCATAGCACTGTAGTTTTAAAAGGAATCTCATTCTATCGACTGTCTCGAAGGCGCGTTGCAAATCTAAGAATACGGCTCCAATTGATTTGTTTTCGTCTACCCACATTTTACAGTCAAATAAGATATTTTGCACCGCTGTTTCACAACTGTGTCCAACTCTGAAGCCCGACTGATATTCTGACAAAATATCATCATTATCATTTACGTACTGGATCAATTGTTCATAAATAACCCTCTCTAACAACTTTTCCACGGCAAGTAATGTGTTTATTGGCTCAAGGTCACCTGCTCTATTTGAATTTTTGACTTCAGGAACTGGGATTATGGTCGAAACTTTGAGCATACACGGAAATTCACCTAACTGTAAAAAACTATTAACAACATTGAGCAGTGGATCCTTTATACTCTCATAAATATTAAGAATTCAGTTACCTACTATTATTACCATTGAAACACTATCACTCACCCCACTAGCTGCGTGCACCAATTCTTGCAACCATTCGCTGGTAACATACTCATCCGGAGCTGCTAAGAGCAAGCTTTTCCCCTCCACTATTAGCTGAAAGGTATGCGGTCTTGGACTATTCACGACTCTCCTGGCACCGTGGCAAGAACCATTTATCAAAGGAAACACCCTCATGGGTACCCTCTGCGAAGGAGCAGACAACATGTACAGTACACCGGCCCTGCGAATAAATGAGTTGGTAATATGCTTTTCAAAAAATTATTTTCAGTTTGACAATATTCTCACTTCAAAATGAAATATGCCGTTTCCCATCGGGATGACTCCGATTCTGAAGTTTTGAACATGAGAGGACCTTCTTTGTTTGGTCCTAGTGGAGTGGGGTCGGTCTCTGATGTAAAATCTTGGACGTTAACGATGCTATAATAATAATATTCTTCATCCTAGAAATTAGAAAAACTGTAAGACTATATAATGATAATAATGGTGTTTATTATTTCCAATAAAAAAAAGTTGTATACAATTCTCAACATTTTTACCTAGAAATTAAATATTGAAAGTAAAAAGCAAAGTTCAATATATTCAGCGAGAATATTACTGATGATTATTTACTGAAATTGTTTGGAACAGAAACTCATGAGAGAAATGGTACTGTGGAAATAGTTTCTCAAGAAATATACCATTATATGAGGTCTGTTGAAAAAGTAAGGAGGATGTTCAAATTTTGCGGGCTACATACATTCGATTAGCGTTTTTTTAATGTTTTATGTTGGTACCCTCGTCTCGAACTTATGTTTACAGTTTCAGCAGTTTACTTGGTGAGAGGCATAAAAGTTTTGCGTGTTTGACGATTTTCTGCTGTCGACCAAAGAATTCGCAAAAAATTAATAAAGTACTCAAAAAAAAAACACTTGAAATGTTGACAGTGGCATACCATGATTGTACTCCGAGTCAGAAAAACGTTTACAAGTGGTACAAACTTTTCATAGAAGAGCGAGAAGATGTGAGTGACGACGCTCGTCCTGGTCGCCTCAGGGCATCAACAACCGATGAAAATTGTTATGCGGAATCACTATTAGAGATGTTGCTGACGATGTCGGCATATCTGTTGAAGTTATGCGCTGCTTGTAAAAAGCAATACGAAGAAAACGTCTGGTATTGTGGAAAAACAATTCATGACTTTTGCATTACGATAATGCACCTGCTCAGTCGCCATTGTTTGTTCGTATTTCTCTTGTCAGAAACAACAATGTTATCATGCCTCAGCCACCGTATTCACCAGATTTGGCCCTCTGCGACTTTATCCCGTTCCCAAGATTGAAGAGACCCATGAAAGGACAGCGTTTTGCGACGATTTAGAAGAAAAAAATAATAATCCCTTGGAGAGCTCAAGAACATACTAAAAAGGGCATATCAGACAAAATGGAAATTTATGAATACATATTTTTTGAGAAAAATAAAAATTCACCTCATTTTTCAACTGGCCTCGTATATACTAACATTGCCACCTTCTAATAGCAGACTGGCAGAGAAGCGAGAAAAAAGTTTTACTTTAAAGCTTAATTAGATCATAGTATCATAGATCATAGAAAAGTATAAAAACTGAATACATATTGCGATTTTTATAAATTAAAAGCACACTTCTCACAGACCAAAGCTTAATATAGTCAAAATATTGACTACTTCAAATGATGAAAAGTGTCTCAGTTCATTGTAATTGTTTGAAAATGTTTGAAATTGCAGTAACATTAGTTACAAATAAAAGAGGTAAAAAAACATAAAAAGTTTTATTTCTCATTTTTCATGATGATATCCTACCACATAGTAACGGGTACATCCATCAATTTTTTTATGCTAACATATCTCACCAACACAAAACTTCAATTTTTGCCCCAATAATTATTTTTCTGACACGACAAATGACACCATATTCTTGGTTATTATTTGATCTAATCTGTAGCGCTTATCTTTTAAGAGATATAATATGACTTCCATCAAATATGCTTGATGAGAAACTCGTTTTGGAGCGTAGAAAATAATTTTAATGCTTTGTTTCCATAAAAAATTACATCAACTTTCTACTAATAAACGTCAAATGTCATCAACCGTTTATATCATTATATTTTTGAAATCCAAAGCATTCGACACAGTGAACCATTCAATTTTATGTGAGAAATTGAAAGCAACTGGATTTTGTGGAAAACTGGAATGGCTGATAAACTATATTAGTAACAGATCTCAATATGTAAAAGTCAAGGAATTCATATCTCACGAAATTAATGTTTTATCAGGTGTACCACAAGCAAGCCATCTTCTCAACATTTTTATTAATGATATCAGAGTTAACTTAAAATATACTGACATCTTACTTTTTGCAGATGATCTGAAAATATTCAAGACAATTCAAACACCAGATGATTGCTTAGTATTACAAACAGATTTAGTGAATGGTGTTCACAAAATGATATGAATCTCAACGTGAATAAATGTGAATGTATGACGTACTATCGAGTACTTACACCTGTAAACTATGATTACTACATATCGGGAGAACTTTTAACACGTGTCGAATTTGTAACTGATTTAGGAGTTGTGATGGATAAAAAACTGGACTTTCACCTACATTATAATTATATTATAAACAAAGCAACAAAAATGCTAGGCTTCATTTGTCGTACATCCAAGAACTTCTCTAATATTGAATTATAAAAATGATGTATTTCACCCTGGTAAGATCAGTCTTAGATTATTGCAGTTCCATTTGGTCACCCACCTATGAAAGTCCTGTACTTAACATAGAACGGGTACAAAATAAATTTCTTAAACTTTTGGCGTTCAAGTTAAAAATAACCTTGAAGGACAATTCATTAGATGATATTCGTAGAGTTGCAGATATCATGAAGCTAAGTAGTCGTAGAGTGGAAACTGACCTAAAACTCTTATTCCAATTATTAAATTCTCTTATTAACTGCCCTGCATTGCTATCACAAATTGGCTTACATGTTCCTTCTAGAAGTACAAGGAATACACAAACATTTGCAATAGATTTTCATCTTTGTAACTACGGTAAACATTCTCCGCTGTCTAGAGTTGCTATTGGTGGTAATAAAGCCGATCTGGACTTCTTTTCATTGAACGAAACAAAATTTAAGTTTGCATTACGCTCGCTCAGAAATAAATTATAAATGGTAATAAATATAAAGCGATTTTCCACATTTTCATGTTAACGCCGGAAACTCGAGGTGTTAAGTTTTCGTTGGACCACACTGTATATAAAAATGACAAAAATATATTGATAGTAAATAACAATAATAAGAAGGAGGATGTCCAAAAAGCTGATATTTTCTCTGTAAAACTGGAGATGAAAAAATTACCAATGTACCAAAATTCGACTTGCAGCAAATGAAAAATAAAGTAGAAAATGGGATATACCATGAGACACACGGTATATGCGGTATGTACCTTGCTCACAGATGTTTGTTTGCAAACAGCCCTTCTCAGGTTTACCATATCCCTCATATTCAGCCGATTCACAGCAGGCAGTTTGGGCTTATTACTGTCTCTTCTCATGGCGATTTCCAGTTGTCCGACAAGTTCCCCGGTTATATCGCTACAACCAGTACTGACGATACACTGCATCTCTTTGTCGTAATTGGAAAAGTGGATGGTCTGAGCATTGGGACCAATAAGTATTGTATCAAGTTCGGTGTAAGGTAACACGAAATGATTCATGATAGAACCATTTGGTTTTGTACCGGTAACATAGAGGGTGCTGTCTGACAGGAGAACGATAAGGGGTTTTGTATCGCCATTTGTTGTGTAGGCGCTCCTCACATGAAAGATCTGGAATTGAATAAAAAATGCAATCTAATTAATACAGTTTATTGTATGACTTTCATACAATACAACCATACAATAAACTATATTGATTAGTTTTAATATGGATTTTCATCAAGTATCAGCCCGCTCTATTAAAAAAAATCAATGTCATAAAATCAGAAATCTTCGTATATGTTATATCAAAAAGATCTATATCAATTTATTCAAAGGATCCAATTAAATTCCATAATGAAGATATTACATACCTACTCTCCTAGTGCTAAATTTCTTGGCCTCATTCTAGATGAAAATGTATTGTTGTAAATCATTCATGATCAATCATGATTGCCCGCCACTCTAGAAGCAGCGAGAATAATGGCAGAGATTTCGACGGAATTTCGGCGAAAATTTCTAGCGCATTCGATTACGATATATAAACGCAAGCCGCGAGCATATCGAGACAGTCAAGTGGAAGCTACAGTGCGGTACACGAAGTGATCTAGTAAGGCGATAGACATTCAAATAATAGTTGAAGTTTTAGTTGAAGTGTTTGTTGTATTTAAAGTAAAATAAAGTTAAGTTTGATTATTCAGTGTAGTCAATTATTGGTCAACCCACGGGGAAAAACGAAACAGTATCATGGAGACAACATACTTAATTGGAATTTTATTCAAAATAAGAAATGTTGTACCATTAAAATACCCTAAATTTTTCATTAGTATATTCCAAAATTTAATATCCAATATCAGTATGGGAAATGACAACAAATTTCTTATGACTTTCAGAATCAATGATGACACAACCATTCGACAATATATTCAGGCAATCTAAAATTAATGAAAACCACAAAATGCATTGTTACCAGATTAAATTAACGCAAGAACTGAATGAAAATGATTTCGATCGATGCTTGCAATTTTGCGAGTTGGTTAGTGGAAGAGCGGTGGAAAATCCAAATTTTGTTTTCAACATTTGCTTCAGTGATGAATGTTCTTTTTTTCTGAATGACACAGTCAATCGCCATAATTGTCGCTATTGGGCTGATTCAAATCCTCACATTTTTCATGAAGTGAACGTCCACAAAAGTTAAATGTATGGACTGGAATTTTTGGTGACCGTATTGTTGGCCCATTATTTTTAGAAGGCAATTTAACCTAATTTGTACCAATTGTCTATGACTTCTCACAAATGAATAAATAAAAATCTATCTATCTATCTATCTATCTAACCGAACAAATGTATCTGGAGCTTCTAGAAGATACTATCAATCCCCTTCTCACTAATATTATTGAAAATGACCACAATTATCGGGAGGATCTGTTAATATTTCAAAAATATGGGGCTCCTCCGCACTATGCTCTGCCTGTTCGGCAGTATTTAGATTAGACTTTGCCGGATCACTGGATTGGGAGGCGAGGCACTATCAAATGGCCACCACAATCACCAAACCTTCCGCCGTTAGATTTCTTTCTGTGGGGTCATTTGAATTTACTGTACTCCTCCTGCATCACTCGAAGATTTACGGCAACGAATCACAAATGAATGTCGCCAAATCACTCTAGAAATGCTCCACAATGCTCAAGAACGTTTCCAGCAGAAACTCTATTATTGCATGGAAGTTGGAGGTGCCCTTTTTGACCATATGCTAACATGAGATTGAAGTAAGTAACTTCAACTCTCAATTTAATATGGTTCATAGTTGGATAATTCCAAGATCTTTCAAACGATGTGCGACTCGCCCCCAGTTCCCTATTAAAATTCCAAGGGTTGTTCACCCCCCTGCTCCGGGGTTGAAGTGACGACGCTGCAAATGGGGAAAAACCCGTCCCCCTCCTAATAAAAATCGACCTGTCTGAGCGTTTTTTAGGATTTGCAAGATTAGTACCCAAAAGCTCCGTGTCAACTTTTCGATGGCCCACCCTGTATACAGGTATGCATGTGTGTGTGTATTATATGATATATACACTCACAATCGAAACATCGTTGAGTAATGTGATTTGAATTCAACCTTATTTTGTTTGATTGCATCTCTTTTCATTGTTTATCTTCATTATTTCATCCTAATTCTTATTTTTTACATTTCATCACTCTTTTCACATTTTTTCAATATCATCTTTTTCTATTAGCTCATCAGAAATTTTGGATCCTGTATTTTTCAGCTTCCATTCACACAATTTCAATTTTTAGTTATCATAGATTTAAAAAATGGTAACGCCTGTAACATTCTCAACCATTTCTGCGAGGACACATAGGAAAGCTGTCTTCTTTGAAAGATTCCTCAACTCCTCATCACATAATTCAAATAAATTAATTTTATCCATGCATAATTGACGAAATAACTACAAGAACTGACCTCACGCCCCTCAGCGCCCTCTCTTGGCTAGAATTTTAGTGATTAACCTCATTGTTTATTTAATTCAAGGAAGTTTTTTTTGTCCCTAGAGGATTTAATATGACAAAAAGAAACAGTTCCCATCAAGTCAAAGATAAACCAATGAAAAAATATTTTCTAAAAAAATACAATATACATCTGGACTCACCCTCAACAGCTTCTCTAGTCTGCTCCTAAATACTTCCTTTCGAAACTGTATCACAATTTTTTTATCCAAACTATCCGCGAAGTTAACCAGTTTCTTTCTCCCATTAAGGATTTCTTTCTCCAATTCCCTGTCAATTTCGTTACATTCTTCCCCAGGTTTCACCCCTTCAATATACAAACTCAACGGTCTTCTAGAATTTCTTTCCTTATTCTGAATCTTCACATCGAGCATTTTCTTCAAGGTAACATTCCTCAAAAATCTGTTAATCAATGAGGATTTGGAATTTGATGCCTTCCCAGAAGGCAATGATCTTGACAAATCCGACCCTTCACTTCTTTCTGAAAGCGGTATTTTGAAAGAGTTGCTGACTGAGTAATGATTGCTTCTGTTTACTTTCCTCTTGGGCGAGCTCAAATGTCTCGGGTTTTGCGGCTCTGCAAAATCAGAAACAGTTTCGTTATCGGACCAATCCAATTTGCTGGTGGAGGAGAATTTGCTCTGAGCACTATTGCTTGGGGCTGGTTTAACTTCTTTTGGTTGAGATTCTTCCACTTCTTCGACACTTTCTTCATTTTTGATAGGAGTGGATGCCTTGTTGATAATTTCAAAGTCTTCTTCGCCTGTGACTTCCTGTTCTCTAGCTCTCTTTCGAAAAAAGTTGAATTCTTTCAGAATCTTCTGGTAAACTGTTGAACTTTTCGGTTCATTTTGTTTTTCGAAAGACTTTTGGAATTTATCGTACTCATAGGAGTAGCTAATACCTGGAAAGTTAGTGAATCTGAATATCTGTAATATGTAAATAGTTTACGTAGTGCAGACAAAATGTGTGCTTGAAAAAAAAACTGTAAAGCGTATTCTTGGTTCTTTGACGAGCGTTGAAACAAAGTTAAACTGAAAGGCAAAAACTGTTTTCCAAAACTACGACCATTTTTCAGAATCTGAAACAAATACGGGGACACCCCAAAGATCATGTCTATCACCGACACTATTCAATATATTCATCATAGACCTTCCAAGTAATTTGAAAAAACAGGATAATCAATTATATATGATGTGAAATATGATGTGGTAACAGTCGCGATCGTTACGGCATCGCCTACAATAATGTCTACCGCAGTATTAAAATAAAAATCTGCAGACGACGGCTAAAAATCAAGAAAAATAGCCGACACACAGTTATCTCCGGCCTGGATAGTTTAGAAGAAAGATATTTGATGTAGTCTTTCCAATTGAGCTTCGAATGCAGAAGACAAAAATTATTAAATACTGCCGGAGTTCAATGCCAACACCAAACCGTTATTTTTACACCTCGACACTTGTTTGAATCACCAAGTTTTATCTTTCTCTTGAAGATAATCAGTTAGTGATTGAAACACGTGTTGAGGTGTTAAAATAACGGTTTGGTGTTGGGATACTAAACAGTTTCATCTTCCTCTTGAAGATGATCACTTGGTGATTGAAACACGTGTTGGGGTGTTGAAAATAACGGTTTGGTATTGGGATACTAAACAGTTTCATCTTCCTCTTGAAGATGATCACTTGGTGATTGAAACACGTGTTGGGGTGTTAAAAATAACGGTTTGGTGTTGGGATATTAAACAGTTTAATCTCCCTTTTGAAGATGATCACTTGGTGATTGAAACACGTGTTGGGATGTTATAAATAACAGTTTGGTGTTGGGATATTAAACAGCTTTATCTTCCTCTTGAAGATGATCACTTGATGATTGAAACACGTGTTGAGGTGTTAAAAATAACAGTTTGGTGTTGGGATATTAAACAGTTTAATCTCCCTCAATCACCACTTGATGACTGAAACACGTGTTGAGGTGTTAAAAATAACGGGTTGGTGTTGGGATATTAAACAGTTTAATCTCCCTCAAATACCACTTGGTGATTAAAAATACCGGTTTGGTGATGGGATATTAAACAGCTTTATCTTCCTCTTGAAGATGATCACTTGGTGATTGAAACATGTGTTGAGGTGTTAAAAATAACGGTTTGGTGTTGGGATATTAAACAGTTTCATCTCCCTCTTGAAGATGATCACTTGGTGATTGAAACACGTGTTGAGGTGTTAAAAATAACGGCTTGGTGTTAGGATATTAAACAGTTTAATCTCCCTCTATCACCACTTGGTGATTGAAATACGTGTTGAGGTGTTAAAAATAACGGTTTGGTGTTGGGATATTAAACAGCTTTATCTTCCTCTTGAAGATGATCATTTGGTGATTGAAACACGAGTTGAGGTGTTAAAAATAACGGTTTGGTGTTGGGACAAAACTCCAGTAATATTCATTACTCGACCAAAGTTTCCAAACAGTGCATTAAAAGTACACAAATTATCAGCTGCAAAGTTTAAATTTTTTAAATTATGTCTTGGGTTTGTTCCTTGACATATTCATGATCAGGGTGACTATTATAAAACGTATCATTAGCCTAATGAGTGGTCTTAAAAAGACTCATGTAGTGTGGAAGTTCATTAACATATAGTATTAATAGAAGAGGCCCTAAGATAGACCCCTGGGGCACCCCTGCTATTAAATTCAAAGCCAGAGATCTATGTTTCATGATGAACGACCTGATTGGATCAAATTAGTTTCTTTGCCCCTAATTCCATAGTATGGAAGTTTTTCAAGTAAGATCGGATACGACACACTGTCAAAGGCCTTAGAGAGGTCACAAAATACAGCTGTGAGTGCTTCTCCCCTCTCAAAAGACTCCTAGGTATATCAAATGAAAGAAATATAAGTAAATGTCGAAAGGGGAGAGAGTTTCTAGTGTAGTGCAGATGAATAATTCAATCTGTAGCAAAAATTCTCAACCGAAATCAGTCCTTACCTTTATGTTCATAAACATTGCTGTCGCAGAGAATAATATTTCCGGGTAGATTTTGTTGGACATTTGGATAAGTGGGATAGAAGCCTTCGCTTTTAGTTAATTTTAAATTGTTTTTAGCTTGATTTAATTTGGTCACAGCTGGTGGTGTTATCTCTATTGTTTCAAAATTTTTGAGCATTAAATTTCCTAAAGACTTTTTATTTGAACTGCCCTGCGAGGAAGAATAAATCGATAGATCCTCTTGGCCCTCTGGTACTCCGCGTTCTGCAAGAGGAACCGACGTTGAGAAAGTCAAAATATTCTTCAAGCTGCCAAAAATGTTGGAGTCCAACAGATTCGTTTCAGACTTTTTCTTTTTCAAATTGGTCTCTTCCTGCACAATATTGGTATCTATGAACCTTTTAGTGTGTTTAGTTTTTTTCAAGCAACTTGATTTTGGTTTAGATTTCAAACTTGGTTCCTTTTTTACAAACACTTCTTCCGAATCTTCTTCATCAATAGAACTTGACATACTGGCTGTTGAACTTGACGATGTCGAGGAATACCTTGGATGAGCAATGTAAATATCAGATTTGATTTCTCGATTTGTTGAAGCTTTTTCGTAATAAGGGGCATCACCTTCAGCTGCCCAACTGTATCTACCTTTGACAACATCAGGTTTTCGTATGAATCCTCTCTGGAAGAAGCTCAAAGAAACTTCTGGTTCGTGTGTGATGAACCCATGATTGATGTGAATATCATCAATTTTTGTGCTGTTGAGTATATCTTCGTGAAAGGAGACCCGTTTTTTTGGTGTATCAGACTTGGATTTTTTCTTTCTCTGTCTTCGGAAAACTATTTGTTCTTCGAAAGCTTTATCTTTATTTTCCACAACAGGAGGCACCTCAGGAACTGGATCTGGAGTAGCTATTGCCTGATTCAAGGCCAGTTTGAGGTTTTCATTCACCTCTTCAGAGAGACTAACGTGCATGTCTGAATTCTCCACAGCCAAGTTTCTATTCTGGAGTGTATAATCTAAAAGTTCGTAGCTTGTCAGAGATACATTCATTAAATCCGCTTCAGTGTTTTTGATAGGGTGTTCCATTTCGCAAAAATCATCGCTGAATCTCTGAGAATCTAAATCAAGAGCATGAGATGAACTTTTGAATTCAAACTTTTTGTCATCAAAATAACTTGGAACTGATTTGGAGAGCAATTTGTGATCTTCAGCAATATTTTGATTGACAATATCACTCCTTGTCATTATTTTGGCAGGTTCTTTCAAAGGTTTTTCTTCGTCATGTTTCTCGACTTCATCCATAGTTGTTTGCTGTGGACTACATTTCTTTGAGAACTTGTCAATGGAGTTTATGCATTTCTCATTTTTCATTTCACTCACTTCATTATGACTAGATCCATATCTGTCTTTGTGAGGTCTGTCGCTATCTGAATATATACCCTCTATATCACAACCGAATCCACTGACAGACATAACAGATGTTACTTCACTTTCACTATCTAGTAATTGTACTCCCGAATCAATGGGGGACGATAAACTGGATACTGTGCTTGAAGTCATTTGTGCATCACTAGCATCATGACATTTCTTAAGAGTATAATCATAGGTCTTTGTGTTAATATTATCAAAGTCTTGCAGAACAGTCTCCATACTAAAAACAAAGAATCTAATATGAAAATACGCAGACGAACATTCATTTTCAGTTAACAACTTTTACTAGATACCTTAATTGGATTTCAATTGGGAATAGATGGAAATGGCACAAAATATTATACAGAAATAATGCGTAATTTTGATGCACTTGCACTTTACGTCATTAGCATAGCTGCCGTTTGCCATATCCCACAATCTTGAATAAAAATGATCAATTTGGGCATGCGTTTCATCATTTTCCACTACCCTGCTCCACATTCACCATCTGCATTGATTTTCCTCGAGTATTTCTTTATATTTTTTAAGCAATTTACTCAAATGTCACTGTCATCGATATCATCTTCTTCTTTTTCCACTTCTTCGTTTCTTTTTTCTTTGCTTTCCTTATATCGCAGTAGACCATTCTTATTTTCACAAAAAATTTATACTGGGGTGTTTTGAGGCGTATCTTTCAATTTGAAGAATTATTCATTACCTTTTGCATGAGTTAGTGAATCATGGATTCCTATATCAATTCCCAATTTCATTTATATATAACTTTGTAAATATATTCTTGTAAATCTTTTTACAAAATATGAATTGAGATTCATTTCAAATAGTTGTTAAAAGATTACACATTTCTTTGTAATTCTGGAAAATGGAGACCTTGATTCGACACTTTGTCAAGAATTCAGGAAAAAATTCATATGTGGGGAACAGCTTACACTTTGATATTTATAATAATTGGATATTCGCGTCAATCGAGGCCTCATTTTAGAAAAACTCTTATAGATTAAATTTTGTGACCATTGATTCAGCTATGTTTAATAAGCATTTTTAGTCAACCAATGGTAAGAAAATATGTTTCAGAAGAACTATTAAGTCAATTCATCGCTGAATACTCATTAGATATCGCTTTCTATGTGTATGTGTGTGTGTGCAAATTATAGGTTTCTGGAGTATGCAGCGATACTAATAATCGGGGAACTGGTTGGGGAATAAAAAAGAATTATGAATTAGTAGTTCGTTTTGAGTCATTTTTAAACGACCAATGGTAAGCAAATATGTTTCAGAAGGACTAGTAAGTAAATTCATCGCTGAATGCGCATTAGACATCGCTGTCTATGTGTGCACCGATTATTAGTTTATTTAGTTTTTGGAGTATGCAGCAATGCCAATCGTCGGGGAACTGGTTGGGGTGTTTGTTGAGGAATCAAAAATATTGAGAAATTAGTGGTTTGTTGTCATTTGTCATTGTGAACGTTAACAAATAAAGTTATTTAATTGTGAATTTGTGACAGTAATGCTTTTAGAGTGTTCATTTTAGAAACTGATAAATAGGTAAAATAAATTACTCCCACTCACGGAAAGCACAAGTTAAGAAAACAGCTGACAGCACTTTTTTGTTTTTCCATCTGGCTGTTTCAATGTGTCCGGTAGATGTCGTACCTGCACAGTTCATGTTGCTACCGCGCATGCGTGTAGAATTTCGAATTGTTGAAAACTTGATCTTGAAATTGGGCACACGCATCTACGAATGTCTTTAATACGAAAAGATTAATCTAATTACCTAAGTACAATACAGGGGGTTGAAAAACATCATGATGCCCCAATCTGTAAAATGATCCACACCAAGAGGTTCTTAGGAATAATTAGAAAATTTCTGGTAAAAAACCTAGGTACTTAAGCATTGAAGGGCTCTTAGATGAAGCTGGCTCTTCATTGCCAGCGTTGTAGTAGTGATCCAACAAATAATTCCTTCCATGCATAATTTCATTTTTTTCTTGTCCAAACAAAGTTTGAACAAGATAAACATGTATTTCAATAACTTCAAACTATATTTTTGCACAAATTCACATCGTTTTTGACATATGTAAGCACAATAGTGTAAGACATCAATAAAGTATTTAATTTTATTCTATTACTACATCAGTTTGAATTGATAACACAAACCTGCTGATTTTGGGTAATTTTTGCAACAATTGTAAATCAGAATCTCAATGACGCCGATTTCCAAGCTATATATACCTTTCAAAGATTGCAATAGCACAATATCAGAACTCGTATTACAATGTAACATGCATTATGGTAGGTATACAAAAACAAATAAATAGATATGTTGGTAAATGATACAAAAAATTGGGTCAGCATACCACAAGTTACCCACAATCTAAGAATAAGTTCATGAAAATTGATTCAACTAACATTCAAAATAATGGAAGACGTAGCAGGTCGTCCATTTACAAAAAATTTAGTCTCAAAATCCAATTGGAGATCCTTTTCTATCTGGTCATATTTGAACAATCAACATTTGCATTCATTTATCGATTAAGGTACCCCTAATTTTCTTGAATTCTTGTATTTTACTCTGCTCTTGTTTTCTTTTCGACATGCCCTTCCTCTCGAGTTGTTTTTCTATGATACGTGCATTGTTGGCATAGCTGTCAGCAACCTCTCTCTGAAACAAAGTTAATATTGAATTTCAAAAAAAAATAATGCCTGTAAGTGGCATATTTACAAGTTGAGATTTTTGCAATGACGTATTATAGAGTCAACTTACTTGTACATCGTGTTTATAGTACAGCAGCAGTCCACATTTTTTACATTTCAAACGGTACTGCCTCTCTATTCCTTCAGGGCGTTTGATATAAACCGCCTCGTCTGTGTCACACGTGATTTTGTGGGCATGATTGGTTCTGTCCAGCACTCTAGCTCCATCCCTTTTACGTAATGGTAGTTTCTCAATTGAACAATCTGGAAGGTGAGTTAGAATATTTATGTTGCTATACAAAAATATTGAGACAAAAGTAGCACAACCACTGATTCATAAATGATCAATGTATTTCCTTATATTTGATCACATATATATGAAAAACTTACCCAGAATTAATGTCATTTGACCACACAAACAATAATAGATATGTAAAGGCTTTTCGTCTCCATATTCCTCCTGATCTTTAGTATCAGAACAAGCGATACTTCTTGATACTACTTTTGGCATTTTGAAAAACTTATTTTTGTTTACAACTACTAACTTCAAATATATCAGGATATACTTATAGGTTATGTTATAAGTATAGAACTATCAAAAAATCAAAACAGATTTTCAGTGTTCTGCCACAGGTTCTGCAGAGAACACACACATATATATATAGAATGTAATGTCCTGTGGTAAGAATAGTCGGTAGAACCGATCGTGAAAAATCGGTAGATTCGAAAGTAGATTCATACACAGACATCAATTGTCAGTGCTTCCCCGGTGCAGAAAGTTTAAGGGATTCCAGTATAGAGTGATATCGATTTTGAATGTGAGGTTTTATGCAATTTGTGTTGCATACATTTTAAACACTTGAAACGTATTATTGATATAGATTTGATGGTAGATTACTTACCAAATCGGTAGAACTACCGATAAATCGGTGGGGCTGGCAACACTGGATAGAAAACTGATACTAAAAAGCTAACGTTAGTTGCCCTTCAACAGAACTTTTACTCGAGTCGGTGCGCCATCTGCTGGACAAAAGGAGAACGACTAATTGAAATTACAAAAAATAACACTGGGATCTGAAAATAATATCAGGTTTTCTGAGATATCCTGTATCTGGTAGGTACACCTTTAATAATAATATCTAGTTGTCTGTCATACGGCATTTCCCCAGTTAAAGACATTTCATCAAACATCAAGATGCAATATTTCTCCTGACTCCTGATCTGGTAGATCTGATATGGTGTCTTTCAATGTGTTGAATATTCTAACAAGTATACCAGGGATAATTGAAATTTTCCCCAGCAAATTCATGAGAATTGTCCGAGATGGTAAAATATATATTTTTGACAGGAAATTGTATATTTCCTTTTCCACTTGATTTAAACAGTGACAATGCCATTATTTTGTCTTTATTTGTGAACGGTCTACCTTTCGATCTGGTTTTCTGATTTATCTGTGACAAAATTTCAGCACCACACTTCCAAAAACTATTGGACATAGTCCAATAGTTTTTGGAAGTGTGCGGTGCTGAAATCACCGTTTCTGCCATTTGCTAGTTCTCTTTGTAGGAAGACAACTCGAGATTGTAATGTAGTCAGTCGTTTTTAATGCAATAACTAAGTATACGTACATGAACTGTTCACGACGAAATAGCTCCTTAATTTTCTTCACATTAATTTCCCGAAGACTGAAAACCTTTTCCTGAAAAAAAAATTATATATAACGTTTTATGAAATGATAATCTTTTCAACCTTATGATTGGAAAGATTAATTTCTTCATTCAAATGAAATATTATTCGATGATATTTATAATGGAAGTCTATGTTAATTAGTGACTATCCACGTAGGTTTACAAAAATATTCATCACGAAAATTACTTATTCACAAACATTCGTTATGGAATTGAAACAGATATCATTCGTAGGAACGCTATACCAAATGATATATGAAAAATTTGTATTAGTTTGTAATTAAACCTCATTATAAAGTTTGTGGACGAATATATGTATACTCAATGTTCAAATATTTGTGAAATATTGATACTTTTAATATTTTACTTATTCCAATACTCATATATCCGGTATGGTCTAGTGGCTAGGATACCTGGCTCTCACCCAGGAGGCTCGGGTTCGATTCCCGGTACCGGAATATTTTTTTATGATTATTTTTTATGTCACATTTTTTTATAATGTATACAGAAAACGGCTAGGTAAATTCTACTATTCTTATGGTATCACCTTTTGGATCATCCTACAGTTGCTATTTTTATTCACTTGTTTGAAATTTTTAATTTACTCAATTGAAAAAAAATGAGATAGAGGACATTTTATGGGCATTGAAATAGCAAACTTCTATATTTACTTATTTCATAAAATTGTGTTCAAGAGATGAGTTCAAGAAAATATTTTCAATAACAGAATTCTCACAACCTGACGTTCACACAAATCTCGAAATAGTCGAAATATGGCATCAAAGCATTATTTACAATTTACGTCGTGTTTTCTAACAACATAATTTCTGGGTAGCTATCACTTTCTCTCCTCATATAGCTAAATATTGATGTATAAATTTGATTAGCTCTATTTCCAAGCACGTTCCAGTCCTATAATTATGAATTCTGTGGCTAACTATCCCAAAATCTTATAGCTTAGTTCCTTATGATTCTCGAGAGAAATTCAAAGATTTTTGATAAAACAAATCTTTTTATCAATGGAAGTTATTAACGTTACGTCAGTCGGTAAATTGCATACAATCAATTATCATATTTACTTTCATCCAAAATTTAAAAATGTAATAAGTTGTCGGAGTTCCACGTATATTTTAGTTACCAGGTACCGAATGGATAGTCACTTCCAATGCCAAAAATCAGTGCCTTGTAACATCCAAATTAGCGTTCTGTGTTTTGTTTTGAAACAGGATTTTTGGGTTGGGTTTTAGGTGGGTTATTGGTTGATGATACTACTATAATGAGTAACTGAAATTTCAGTAAAATTGTTTTGAAAATACATGAAAAATGTAGAGCTAACTGGAATCAAATTGAGAGCATCAAGAAGATGGCACTGAAACGCACAGCAGATGAATATTTCAGAAGTATGAATTCCATTGCTACAAGACTCTATGAGGATATGGAAGATACAAAATTATCCTATGAGGATTTATGGAGCACCCTTTCTGAAAAGGAACAACAGATAATCATTTCTGAAAGCATCATAAAACCTGAAATCTCAATTAAATACACCCCCAGAGAAGATGATACTAAAATAGAATATGCTACAAAGTTAATTTTTGATGATAATTGCTCATACAGAGATGAACATTCTGGCCCATTCTGTTTCAAAACTCAGAGCCAAAGAGATCTCAGTATTATTCAGACTGATCCACCAAAGTGTTTTTCTGAGACAAAGACTAAGGCCTCCAAACTGAAGTATAGAAAGCCACCTCAGGTAAAAAGCTGATATTAACCTCCCAAAAAATTGTTTAATAATGACAGGTATCCCTATTCAAATGACAAGGTTTATTGAAAAATTTCAAGGAATGTGGCCCTTATTCTATGTATCGTAGCTGATATGACTTAAATTCCACTTTCACTTTTCAAATAAACTTTACAGTATCAAGAGCCAGTGTTGGAAAAAAAGATGGAATCCCCAGAAAGTGATTCCACGAATTCTCTACCAAAGACTGGCCTTGACTTTTTGGATAATTGGTAGATTCCAATCGGAAGATACGTTTTGATATATGCTTTATACCTCGAATTGTTCATTCATTTACCGTCATATCAGTAGTATTTATTTGATTTTAGTACATTGTAATTTCACATATTCAGTATGATAAAAAACTGTAGTCACAAATTATGCTTTGAAATTTTATTTAATTATTTAAAAAACATTTGCAGAGGTAATTAATTATAGAATATTGAACGCCCAACACCCTAGCATGAAATTCACCATGGAGATTGAGCAGGAGCACACACTATCGAACCACCATCCTAGCCAAAAGACAGGAGTCATCTCCATTCTTTTGGCTTGGAATATGTGAACCAGAACATCTGGAGAGGGAACTGTAAAACCTTGAAGTGACCTTGAGATCCAATGGATACAGTGCCTCCGAGATCAGGAAAGCCATGAAACCGAAGAACACCACGGTTCAAAAAGCGAAAAAGGATCAGATGGTTGCACGCGCATATCTACCGTTTATCCCTAGGGTATGGTATCCCAAACATTCGTTATGGAATTGAATCAGATATCATTCACAGAATTGCTACACAATATAGTATATGAAAGAGAAAAAATTTCACCCACATGAAACACTGTCATCCTCAATGATGGACATCCGATGTTTTGGAATAAGACACTTGGTTTAATGCCTCTTTAGCACTATTCTGGATAACATTACAAGATGAAGTTCTTCAATATCGAATTAGTCAAAAGGAAAGCTATGCAAAATAATGTTCAATCAGTTAAAAATAGTTATGTGGTAGTTCTGTTGTGTAAAATTCTTTAATGCATTTTTTGCGTTACAAAATCGGTCTATAAATTCAAGAATTGATTTGGTATTCGACATTGTTTTAAATAATTTCCCAGAGGTCTCTGGGAATTTCATCAAACACTATTGTGGTCTTCAAAAGCGGGCTTTCCACTACAATATGTCTGGTAGATAATGGCAGTTCACACAAAAAACATTATTGTTGAGGATCTTTTTCCTGTTGTGTTTATATGTGAGTGGCTTAAACCATTCCGAGTGATAACCACCTGATGGAAACGATTTTTTGAAACATCTGATCATGGCTATCACGCTAATTTGACTTCTCAAGCTTTCAGATTTTCTCTTACCAAGTCGGTTTCTATGATCAAACAAATTTATGAAGTCTTAGTCCTGATATGCTAACTTGCTTAGCGAAACGCGTGTCGAGACAGTATTTGTGTTCTGGTGTGGGAAAGGTGTTTTCAATAGATTCAATCTTCACCGTCAATTAATTTCATAAAATTTCGTTACTGGTATCATGTACAAATCCCTTTTAGTCCTCACTTGAGCAGCTTATTGCATTATCTACATTCCTCCAGGATAAACTTCCTCAACTTAGCCCAACTGACATTCATCTCTGGCCAATTTCTGTTAACAATGACTACGATATCAACTTTAATGGACTCACCATTGGCTTGACATTTCGATTGTTGGATTATTGTTGGTCTATGTCTAAATTGTCTGGCCCATGTTTACCAATGAAAATTTCATAGAGTTTGGGCTGCGAGTTGCTATAGCTTTCTTCTGATTTAATCGTCGGTCGTCGGTATTAAAATAATTTACTGCATAAAAAATGGTTGGACGTTATTGCTTCCGGTTCACATCCATTAACATGCGGTCTTGAGTTAACAATATATTTGACTTCCAATAGCAAGTAAAGACACGCCTGAAGAAGCCATTGCATGGCGAAACACGTGTTGCGTGTTTTTATAAAACTGTTAAGTGAAAATCTCACGATAAAGTGCTTCTTGAACACGCTCCATCACATACAAGCCTATGTGTGAGTAAGCATGAACATCTTCCTTTCAATAATGAATTCAACCCTTGGGTATCCAAGAGAAACACTTGCTTCACTCCTTCGCATCTCTCATGGTCTTCATTGAACCAAATGGTGTTAGGTTAGGTGTACTACTCTGTTGAAAAAAATAAAGTGAATATTCATTTTTCTCAAAAATATTTATTTGTTCATCCCTTTTTATTTTGTACAAGTGAACATATGTTTGAGATTAGAGTACCAACATAAAAAAATGAAGAATACGATAATTGAATGTACAAGCCCGCGAAATTTGAACATTTACCTTATTTTTTGTACAACCCACGTATATAATGTAGCATCAGATAGTTAAGAGAAAAAAATCATTATTTACTAAGGTCCTAAAAGGGGGGTCTAGTGACACATCTTTTTGAAGCTCCTGACGAATACTTCACAACCCTAGAATATGAAGTCGAAATCTTCACCTACTACAAAATGGCGGAACATTTAATAATTTCCTGAAGACAAACACATTAATATCGATATTTCTAGAAATATTCCTTTTTATCTGCCAAATGGTAATTACAACAACCCGATAAGGTTTGTTAAGTTATTTTTTGTTAATAAAAACGACAAAAAATGTCAGTACGACAATGAACATCATTGTTCGGTTAGAATTTCTCAGTTAGTTTTCGGTTTTACTAGTAGAAAGGTAGGTACCACGTCACCAATCTATCAATATTGGGAGATCATATTGTAGGACCTCTATTTATTGATCAAAATTCAATACGGGAACTGTATTTGAATATGTTGGAAACTACTGTTGACTCTCTCATCACTGAAATCGTCGACGCGAATCCTAATGAATTATATATGGATATTGTATTCCAATAAGATGGAGCACCACCACATTACTCCAGACAAGTAAGAAACTATTTGGATACTACTTTTCCCGGTTGTTGGATTGGCCGTCGAGGTCCTACAGAATAGCCAGCCCGGTCGCCAGATTTGTCACCTTTGGACATTTTTATGGGGCTATTTGAAGCAAAAGGTGTACGAAACTGAACCTGCTTCAAATATTATTATATATTTATAGAGATATTTTGACGTTTCTGTGTTCGAAAATGTTCGGCGTCAAATATCGAATACCTAGGCTGTTCATATGTCAAGAAGTTCAAGGCAACCATTTCGAGCATCGTCTCCTGAACTGACCTCAAGCTTATTACCTCATATGTAGTTAAATGTCAATGTATTCAGGCAATTTTTAAAAGTTTCGCCATTTTGTAGTAGTTGAAGATATTGACATTATATTCTTGGGGAATCGTTTGTATCTCATGCTGTCCTGAGAATCATCTTTATTCTCACCACATAAAAAGATGTAAATGTACACTCTGATTAGAAATTATTGTAAACACCAATTATATTCTAAGTTTTGTGGTGGGGAAAAGGATCGATAATAAATTAATAATAACATAGGAATGTTGAGAAGATGATAATCTATATGAATAAAGAAATTTGTGATAGAAAATGAAGCCTAATGGTACGTTTTTATCGTTAACTATCATTAAATCACCATAGTTATTTCAATGGGTGAAGTACGTAAATAAAATCTCAGCAAATCTAACGATTGCAAAAACCCGACAGAAATTATCTGCTCTTGCGGCTCTGAAATATATTACCCAGTATCCGGTGAAATTCATGTTTGAAATAAATTTATTGTGCCTGCTTCAGCGACTTGTGCTTGTTGCTTGCCTGAAGTTGGGCTTCTCACTCTTCTCAGTGCGGTGCGAGACGTAAAACAGGTTAGGCTCCTCGTAGATGGATGGTTAAAATTGTACTTGTGTAGACGCTTTTCTATTTATTTTAAATGGATCATAAAACGGCGCTGATTCTAATAATATGTAAGTATTGGCTAATTTCCAGTGAAGTCATAAATACTAAGATTTGAATTATTTTGCGTGTACTTGAGTGATCACTTGTTGCTTTGTTTTCGTAGGTATTGGCTTCCCTCAATGGACCATTCAACAATCAAGGGTTGACAGGAGTAACGGTAAATACAGTGGCGGTGAGTAGGTTTATTTTCAAAATATTTGTTACCCCTTGTTTGATTACTATAAAGTTCTCGACGAGAATGTAGAAATGTCACTGGAAAAATAAAATTATTGATTATTATTCTGTTTACTAAAAGTAAAGATCAGGTAATAAATGCTCGTTATAAATGCAAAACTTTGAAGACTGTTCAAACAAAATTTTGTGATATCGTTATGATTGCCACAGCTTTTATAGGCAGGTTTATGATACATTATCAGGTCTACCCTTCTCTTTTATCGCAAAAGGTTCGCAAACAAATGATTTCATGAGCTTTCCGGCCCGTTTATTTGTATGCAACTATTATCGTTAATAATATTTTGATTTGAAATATTNTACATGTACATTTTTCCACGTTGAGTTTCAGCTCATTCACATATCACATATATTATTACAGAGATATTAAAGTTCAAAGTGTACTCATAAAAACGGACAAAACTTTTGAAACGACTTATATCTATCTATTATATTTCATATCCGGATATTTAATGAACTCGGTGGGATTTCTACCATCGTAGAAACCTTCACAAGAGTTAATTCCACTTGAAATTATTGCATGAGAAGTACATGCTAATTAAACAAATTTGTGTTACCAATTATGAAATTTAATTTCCCGAATGGAAAAATATGAACATAAATTAGTATCGATGGGCATCGTCTGCTAAATAATAATGAACAGGAAATAAGATGCTATTGGTTGAAAAATTCTAACTGATAAGATTGATTACAACTGCTTTTGTTAGTAGTCTTGTAACATGACCGAGTTTTATCGAGGATATAATTATATTATTTGCATATTGGGTTTTTCTTCAGATAAGCATGCATAAATCGCCTCAGTAACTCAAGGTTACGCAAAGCCAGGCAATCATCGTATGAACAGAGTTTGATAAAAAGTCTGGAAAGGGTGCCCTAAAACAAAAACGCACCAAAAACCGAACACCAGTTGGGTTTTTGGTGCTTTTTTACTTATTAGTGACCTTTCACTGTGAACCACCAAAATGAAATAAATTCGGTAACAAATATTTGGTATTTTTTATATTTTGATACAGGATGTGTCATGTAAGACTGGCCAATACAATTTTTGGATTCTTCAGAACATTCTAGATATATTTCATGCTCGATGTCCTCCTATACATATTTCAATTATTTCGAAGTGATTCCTGTTAATTGTGTTGAAAAAAAACATCTTTATTACTCAACACACTACTTATATATCAGAGTGAGTGAGACAATATACGTTGAAAGGGGTATGTTCTTAGGAGAGAATAATTTTTGGGACAGAAGGGTTTTGGATTTCTACTTATCCATCTCCATGTAATATGGGAATTTTCTAAAGAAAGGAAAAAAGGAAAGCTAATTACCAGTGGCGATTTTAAAACTTAAGGGCGGGGCACACTATAACTAGGCGCCAAGATTCAGTAAAAAGGCACAGGTATTTGAAGTAATACTGTATTTTCCATTAAGAAAAGAAATAAAATCACAAAACTATAATGATATATTTCAATAATAAACAATGCACACTATCAAAAAGCCAGCATACAAAACAAAACATTTTCTTACCTCTTGGAGAGTAAACTAACCAAAATTCGTTTTTTAAGTTTGCACCAAGAAACGTAAAATAAATTTTCTGTAATTGGAAACTGGAAAGTCTTGGAAGTCATCTGATAACCCAGGTTGGCAAGGTCCTTTTAGAATTAGTAGACGCACTATTTCAGGGATCATAATAGTATTTTTGAATAAAAATGGTCGACGACAAAATTGAAATATAAATTACAAAATGATCCATGTAAAAACAAAATGTTTTTTCCTTCTTCAGACCGTACTCTCCGTAATGTCAGGTTTATTTGGAACCGATTAGAAGCCTCTTTGTATAGACTCGATTTTGTTTATGTGGACATTGTATATGGGTGACCATATAAGGGAGGCATATTCCAGCCGAGATTTGACGTATGCATTGAAAAGAGATAAAAACTGTCTCTGCTACGAAAGTTCTTACAGTAACGATAAATGAGCTCTAGCATCCGTTCGGCTGAGCATGTTATTATATCATAGTGGATGGAGAAACTCAGTTTAGGGTCAAATGTGACCCTTTTGAGTATTTACATTTGTTTGTATTGAGGGGAAGATTATTTTCGGTACACCAAATGTACAAAAAGTCAAGGTCTTTTTGTAAGACTAAGCAGTCCTCCTGTAATGTAATGGGCCGAAAGATTTTCAAATCATCTGCAAAGAGTAAGAAATTGTTAGGGAGATTATTTCCTATGTCGTTAATGAAGAGTGAGAATAAAAGAGGTGCTAAATTGCTTCCTTAGGAAGAAACATTTTGAATAGAGGGTCATGCATAAATTTCACTGAGATTGTTGGGTTTTTATCTTTCATTCATCACTGGTCCTTCGTTATGTATCTCAGCCATTTCTTAAAATAATTTTTTCGAGGGTTATTTTCAGTACCTATGTAAAACTTTGGAATTATCATAACAATATTATGGTCATCTATAGCACAGTATGAAGCTTTTATCTTTATATTGTCTGATGTCTATACCTACTTATAAATGCAAAAGTCACTTAGCACTCATTCATCTCCGTTTCTCCGGTAAGTAAGTAAAAGTAAAATTTGGTATCTTCTTAGGTCTCAGATGCCCACTGAGGAAGGATTTTCGAATATTTTAACTGAGAAGCCCCCGTAAAAGAGGCGCGTTTATATATGAAAATTACCTTTTCATACTGTACCGTACTGTTGAAAAAAAATCTGTTTAAAATCTGTTTTTCCGTTAACCAGCTGTCGCACCCTTACGATAGACAACCCTCAGTAGTCGAAACTTGTGCGAGCTAAGGATTAACGACGTCTTACCTTTTAACGTGTGATTCCTAACTGCTACGAGTATATTTTCGGATGCTGAAATTTTGTATGTAGTATATGTTTTATGTTGTAGATGATCAATAAGAAAGAATTCTTGAATATTGCAAGGGGGAGAGGCAGCCGCAGGGAAAAGGGGCGTTCATAAAATCTAGTTATCTTTTCATCACTGTTTCTTCATATCACTACATTTTCGGAGACTGAAATTCTGTATGTAGGTTCGTTTTATGTTGTATATGTGCAATAAGAAAGGATTTTTACATATTCCAACTGGGTGACCCCACTGTGGATGAAATGGGCGCGGTTACATATGAATGTTACCTTTTCATTATTGTTTCTTCTCACCGTTATATTTTCGGATGATGAAATTTTGTATGTAGGTTCGTTTTATATTGTAGATGTGCAATAAGAAAGGATTTTCAAGTATCCCAACTGGGGCGTTAGCCGCGGGGAAAAGGAGGCGTTCATAAAACAATATTATATTCTCATCACTGTGTCTCTATTCCCTAAAATATCCGGTGGGTGAATTTATATTCAGTATCAGCATTGCACCCGTGCGGAGCCGGTGCGGATCGCTAGTACTGAATAACATGCACTTCCAAAGCACATGATTCAATATTTCTCCTACAATCACTCTTATGAGGAAATGAGAGATATTGCGACTATTTAATGTTCTAGATGTCTGACCAATATATGACTTTTCACAATTTAGTATTTTCTTGCGGAATTTGTAATGAGAGAGGAGATATGCCATTTTAGCAGCTAGATAATAAGACATACGAAAATGTGGGAAGGAAAGATAGGAAAAGAGTGAGAGAGAGAACATGAGTTGTATCTGTTTTTTTTTTCAGTAGAAAAGTTGATGATATTTTAGGTAAACACAAATAACTATTGTAACCAATGTGTAATGTAAACATTCTCCAATTTTGTTACAGGTGTCCCAACAATCAAAGAACCGAGCAACTGGAAAACGATACTTGTTATTGTAGTGGGCGTTTTAGTTTTTGGTGCTGTCATCTACGGAACCAGTTGTTTTTATGTGTGTAAAATGCACTTTTTTGAAAGGACAGAAAAGAAATATACTAAAATGGATTCATGTTCAAGTGTGTAACTAACTTCCTGTTACTATTTATTAGACATAGATATGTAGATGTTAGGATATCCAGTTTTGTCCCCAAAACAGGAATCGGAGCTGATGAAGGCGGGATGAAACTGCAACGGTTAGCCACTGCCAGAAGTTCTCTAGTTATTTTCATATAATTTGTCATTAGGTTATGATCAGAGACATATTATAGTAAAATTCAAACTGCATAGATGTAGATATAGTAGTATATTTTCCTAAAGAAAAGGTTATTTCTATGAAATGAAATAAAAATCCATAAATCCTGTGGAATTATTATTTGTATGCATTAGTAATGTAATTCAAGTAAGTCAAAAAGACTTATTGAATTCCTAGAGATATGAACTGAGGCACATGTATAGTTATAACTATAGGTATATGCGTTTATATCTTACGTACCCAGTCCGAGAAATTTATTTTTCGAATTTGGGCAGTAACCTGGCCAAATTTGGTTAATTAACTTTTATAACAATTTCGCTTACTCTCCTACAAATACAAAATTCTTGGTAAATGAAAATTATTTTAAGATATTGTATTTAATGCTATGAACGTTGTTGATTTTTTTTATGAACTAGTTGACGTTTCACAGGTGGTATAACCAAAAGCAAGTCTTCACACATATAGACAACATTTTCTGAGAAGACAAGGAATCCTTTTTTGTGAAAATACTTTGTTTGTAAAATTGTTTTCAGCAGTGATTAATTTTTTTCAATAAACAAAAAGTAACCTGTTTTGTGCTTATTGTGATGACTAACTTGATAACAATTCAACATTTTTAATGGTTTTTAAAAACTTCTTTTATAGGGACCCAGAAAGACAAGAGGACTAGAACTAATATGTCTGGAATTTGGAAAATTATTTGTGAAGATGTGGTTAAAATTGCTTGCCTATGAAGAAAGCCAATAATTGATTCCTCCTAAAAATATATAAAAAACTCCATTGTGAGGTTCTCTTCAATCTAAATCTAAACTAGTTAACCGATTTTAAAAATATTTTCATCTATAGAAGAAGCTAACTCAGCAGTGTTAACATAGGCTATAGGTATTTTATCAATAAAAACTCGAGAACCACAAGAACGCTGCAATAATGTACCTAACCTAAGAAAGTTATGATATGCACCTACAATAATCAATTATTCAGAGAGTACACCGGAAAATTATATATTATTGTTTTCACTGTGACATTTTAATGAATTATTATAAGTTAGATTTTTGAATTCAAGCGAGTAAGTAAGAGAGAAAGTAAGAAGTCCACAGGTTTGTGAGTAACCGAATTCATTTCAAACAGTGGGATTGGTGTCGCCATCTATGCGTGAAGATCCATACATCAGAATAAAATGGATCAATTACAAGTTATGCAACTTATTATACGTGGAGCTGTTTGGTGTACGATTTTAAATCCACTGAATACAAATAGAGTCTTTTTGGGAGTGAGTTATTTTGGAATTTCAGGCTGAAACTAGTTCTATGAATATTAGTCTCCAATTGAAATTGAAAGAACATACAAGGTTATGCATACATTATTTATTAGAAAGATAATGTATCAAAACAAATACTCTGACCCCTGCCGTTTCTTTTATACCCCCAAGAAACATTTATTGAGGCGTCAACCTCCCAATTATGAATTTACCTTGAATAATCAGAATAACTTGGTTTCACTTTAATGCCAACTGTTTCGAATTACAATTGAACTACAATATTTTCTTAAGCTAGTAACCACTTCAACAACAACACTGCTATAACTATAGAACACAACACTTTCAACTTCAGAATGCATAAATCCAACGTAGGTACTCTTACTATTTATCAAGTGGGAACCATACCTGTAAATAATTGAAGAAATTTCAATTGAAACACAATAAAAATTAACAAACAATGTAAGGAAAACTAATTAATGAGCGGTTTCTAAAAACAATTAAGTTTTAGTAGATAGGTCCAAAGTTACTGGGTCTATTCGATTGCAAATCGCGAGGGTTAATTGTGGCTCTCCTCAAAACTCCAGTTTGAAGTAGACTCATAAAAACGGACAAAATTTTTGAAACAACCCAAGATTCCACTACTTGAACATCATTTTGTGAAAGTCAAGAGCACATTACGCCGATGAACTATTCTCTAGCCAGCAGGAAACAATTTATTACCAGTAAAATGATTTTCTATCAAGTGTCCATTACGAAAAGAAAGCAAAAATCAAATTACTTTTACTCCTCTCCATGTGTTCTGGTGCTTTGGTGAACTTCTGTTCGAACAATGTTTTCTTATAATTCTCCTCCATTTTCGATATATCTTTTAGTCGCTGTTCAGCATTCGAAATGATCGATTTATATACGTATTTGTTTTTCATGATGCTCTTTCTGAAATCTTTTTTTTTCAGTCTATACACTTGGCAAATTTCGATGGCAATGACGGTGGCCGTTCTCAGTTGGTCTCTCAAAACAAGGCATATTTCTCCAAAATAGGCACCATCTTGTAGGTGACACATCTGAAATATAAATAGAGTGAATACAATTCGCCTTACCTAAATTTTCTCAAAATTGCATGCTCTACGCCCTCTATCTCTAAAACAATTCAATGTATAACCCTTTTTCGCATCAAAACTTTCAGAATATTGGAATATCAATACTGTATGATAAATAATTTATTCACTTCTGTCAAGTGTGCCATGCTATGATGGATAATATTTGGGAGTTATTTTAATCAAATCTTCTTTGGAAAACAAAACTCTCACTGAAGAAAGCATTTGATACTGTGGACCATGAAATTCTAATGCATAATATAGGTATCAGAGGTTTAGTTTATAATTGGTTTCGAAATTATTTATCTGTTCGTACTTAGTTATATTGTAGTTAGTTTTTTGAATTATTGTTTTATTTCCCAGGTATAAACATTGCATGTTTCTTGGGAAAATAAATTGTTATTGTTATTATTATTGAATTATGCTTCATACTCCAGATACTATATTTTTCATTTGATTTTAAGAAAGTTGTCACAATATAAATCGATAGGAGCATTCATACGCCACACTTTTACTTGATATGTATTGAGAACACTTTTTTAAAATAAAAGTAAATAATAAAAAAAAGTGGTGTATGAACCAGTCATAATATTGAACGACTGTAATTTTTTGTGGAGGATATCAGACTTTTCATTGACCTACTGAAGTTGTTTTTTGATTTTGACAGTTTGTCAATTTACTCTGTCAGCTTGATGATTTTGTTACTTTTGTTAATTACTTAATTTCGCAAAGGAATTTTACGAAAACTGTTTGTCAAACAATAGTGGTCGTTTGGAAAATGAGACACGGTACTTGCCGATCTCAGCGAGGTAGATCACTCCGACCATTGCATCATCGCCTTTCGTAATGTCTACCGCAGTTGCAGACGAAATTTAAGGCCTGAAAACCTTCCTACAACATATGCTGGACATGTCGATAGCAAATGCATCGGAGTTTCAGGTGTCAGGAACCTTCATACCTATCCTGCAACTACGTTAGACTACGGTGTCAAAGACACTATCCTGGCAGGCAATGAAGAACTCCTTAGTTTCCGACTTCATTTCACTTGACCCAAGAAACGCGAAGGTGAATTGCTTTGAAGTCTAGGTCTTCAATGTTGTTGAAAAACCCATGTATAATTTTGCTCGCTTTCGTTCAACGTACCTAACAGAAGCATATGAAATTGGTTTGTCCTTTCCAACAGATCCTTGCGATAGGATCCTTGCACCTTGCATCCTTGAGGTTGAATGGCTTCGTGAAATTAGGATACTGCAGAAGCGGTTCGTTTGCTTGAAGATTTCTGCATGTTTCGAAACATTCTATGAATTTCGGTGTATGCCCGATTTTCTGTTTTTCTTTCAAGACAGGAGGTGAGTGGTTTGGTTATTTTTGAGAGGCCCTTGATAAATTTTCTATAGTATCTCAGGAATCCTAGGAATCGTTTGATTTATTTGGTTGTTCGGAGTATAAGATACTTTCTTACCAAAACTTACTTTCCTTCACAAAAACTCTGATTTGTCTGGTTAGATATTTAGATTTGTTTCCTTGAACACTTAGAACACTTCGAATACCACTTCATCGCAGGAGCGATGAAGTCGTGTACACAATTATGGCGTCCATATATGTAAGACATATTTTCCCTTGTAGATCCTTCAAAACGTTATCTGTACTACCTAGCTGTACCTCGTTGGAACGTGACTGAAGCTGACTTCGAACTAAACGGCATCCTGGTGTACTCGTAGTGCCCGTGCTCCACTGTGAACGCTGTTTTTGGAATAAATATCCTCTTCCGCTATCTCAATCTGGTAGAAGCCACTTGCTAGGTCCAAAGTGATGAAGTATTGGCACCTCTCTAGCTTGTCTAATGTCATTGATGTTGGGGTTAGGTTAGGTCAGGAGAGAGTGGGTCTATTCGACCCCCCATCGCAAATCGCAAAGGTTTATCGTGGCTCACACCTATTCACACTCGACCAAATAGATCTCTCTTCTTAACGAAACCGATTAGTTTATATGGTGAGTGATCTTTCAGGTCAAATGGTAAGAGTGCGGCTCTGCCAAACTCTGAAAACCTGATTCGGTCCGCAGAGGTCCGGAAAGGACAGTTTTCCGACAGTCCGAGTCTCTGCATATGATAATTCTGACGCTAGTGACCTGTGAGGAGGTCTGTTAGATGTCGTAGTTCATCCCTACTATCCAACAACCATTTGGTTTCAAGCTTCGAAGGGTGAATGAACGTTTTGGAGTGAGCCAATCCTGGAAGATTTTGGAAGAAGTCCATAAATCTTGCCATCTAGGTGTTCAATGTTTGTGCTTTATCCTGAAGACTGTTTTTGGAATAAATATCCTCTTCCGCCATTTCAATCTGGTGGAAGCCACTTGCTAGGTCCAAAATGGTGAAGTATTGGCACCTTGCGTGTACATGGGAATGGGAATGGGAATGGGAATGGGGATGGGAATGGGAATGGGAATGGGAATGGGAATGGGAATGGGAATGGGAATGGGAATGGGAATGGGAATGGGAATGGGAATGGGAATGGGAATGGGAATGGAATGGAATGGAATGGAATGGAATAGAATAGAATAGGACAGAATAGAATATATTTATTTGACTACATTACATGTTTGTTTGTATTGAGAAAAAAAAAATATGGACCGTAGAATGATAATTGTTAAAATATAACCTATAGTGTTATAAAATGAAATTTTTGAAAATAATATCAAGACAAGAAATGATAGTTCAAAAAACCATAGAAAGTAACATAAAATTGGAAAATTGGGCGAGACGAATCTTATTCTCTACAAAGTCTAAAATGTTCAATGTATTCTACTGTGGAATAAAAACAATGCGTCAAAAGTAAGTTTTTTATCCTTATTGTGAATAACTGTATACTTAATGATTTCAATTTTGATGGTAATATATTGTAGAGATAATAACTTAGTGAATTTTTCTTAGATTTGGTTAGGCGGAACCTGTTTGATCTCAGGTTATCTGCTCGTCTGGTAGCATAGTTATGTATGTCCAATTGCTTGGTGAGCATCAAGGAGTTTTTGTGAATCTCTGTTAGAACTTGGAAAATGTCCAAACACGGTGAGGGCATTATTCTGTGTTTAATGAAGAGAGGTTGACAAGATGCTGACAGCTTTTTCGTGTTAACGAAAAATTAATAGAGAATTCGATGAACCACCCCAAAGAATAGTAGCATAACTTATGTGTGAATGAAATAGAGAAAAATATGTTGTTCTGAGTGAATTTAAATTGGTTATAGTTTGAAGTTGTCTTAGGACGAACAGAGCACTGCATAGTTTACTTCTCAATTTGATAATATGAGGTTTCCACGATAGATCACTATCCAGAGTTACTCCCAATAAATTTACAGAATGAGTTTCTATGGCATTCATAGACGAAAGATAAATATACTCTGATTTATCGTTATTAAGTTTGAGTTTATTGACTGCAAACCAGTTTTCGGATTTATTATCTAAGTCTTCTTGAATTCTGTGCAGATCTGATCTCAGTTTGCCAGAATATATGAACGTCGTATCATCTGCAAACGAATAAGTTTTCACCGGAACCATATAGTTACTTAAGTCGTTAATGTATACTATAAACAATAACGGTCCTAATATTGACCCTTGAAATGAATATTTGAAAATTGAAATTTACTAATCCATGTACTGTTTCCTATTTATTTAAAGGCCATTTTTACTACATTTATTTCGATAATCTTATTGAAAAGTGATGTTTTTTAAACTTTGACATCGAAGTGTACCTTCTTTACTACAAAAAATATTGAAAATATTATGCTGTTCTTTTTTCTGTGGCAATAGGAACGAATTTTCACAAATTGAATTTGCTCCCAAATTGGAAAAACTATTCATATGTCTACATTTTATAAATATATCGTATGAATTGAAAGTACACTCACCAGACAATATACTGTTGATCAGCTCCTCTTTAAAAAAAGTTCTCTGATATTTGAATTCATAATATGTCGTGATCCTGCTTCTCAAATCCATTGGTAATTGTTTTTGCCGCATGTATTCATCTAATTGATTCATCAGTTGTCGAAATTTGATATGCATACATCTGCTGTTGAGGATTGTCATAGCGATAACGACTATAAATCAAATTGGAATTGAAAAAAGTATGTTCTGAACAGATCCGCATAGAAAACTATGCAGATATTATCAGAGGTCATAGGAATTTCAAAAACCCTCTTCACTCTCTACATATTCATAACCTATACAATGAACTGAAAAGTGAGAATATGAAGTAGCAAATGAAATTGAAAGAATTTCTAGTCAATAGAAACGATACAAATATTTTCGAAATCAAATTGAAAGGGTTATATTTTTAGGAGTGCCTGATTTTTCAAGAAAGAAAGTTTTTGGCTTTCTACTACTCCATCTTGATACAAAAATTGAAAGGGTTATATTTTTAGGAGTAACTTATTTTTCAAGAAAGAAAGTTTTTGGCTTTCTACTACTCCATCTTGATACAAAAAATGTGAGAATCTTCCAAAGAAACGAAGTAAGCAATCAATTTTTGAAGAAGTAACTCTATACAAAGATCTATAGATCATGCGAAGAGGCAACTTTCAGACACAAACTGAAAGAGAAAGTCCTCCTGATACAGCTACTTCCATAGAAACATTGAATTTCACGAAAGAAAAATTGTTTCGAAACAAATACTTCCATATGAACACTGAATCATACAAAAAACACATTTCTCTACTCAGTTTGTATTCCAAACATTCGTTATGGAATTAAATCAGATATCACTCACAGGATTTCTACACAGTATACTAAATGAAAGGTGAAAATTTCACTTAGATGGAACACTGACATCGATGTTCCGCCGTAAAACACTTGCCTTAGGGCTCTTCAGTACTAATCTGGATAACATTATGAAAAAAAATACACTACCCATTCATAAATCACGATTTTTATGTCACGGAATAAGTTTGATCTACATATGTCATCGAAGATATCGTAATGATAATTACTCACGTATTTGATTAAATTCCAGCCAAAAGGAATCTTCTTCAACTTGAAAGAGTTATATTTTTAGAAGTGACTAAAATTTATTGCTTTCTTTTTTTTTTGGAAGATTTTCACATTTGTTTGTATCAAGATGGAGTAGTAGAAACCAAAAAACTTTCTTTCTCAACATTTAGTCACTCCTAAAAATATAACCCTTTCAATTTAAACTTAGTAAGATTTTTGTTAAGTAAGTATTTTGCTCTTTTGCTTTTTCATTTTTATATAGGTNCATGTGTTAGAGGGAAAGTCAAAAGACGATGCACTAAAAAATTCAACCCAGCACGTTTGTGCTGTCCACAGTGATGTGAACTGTCAGGAATATACCTGTAAGTGCTTGTTTCTTTTCTAAATACATCGTATTCTTACCCTCCATATTGGCTCCTCATTACCAAAACGCCAAGAAATGGTAGTTGTCCCTTATTTTCTAACTCACACGTGAATTTTATTGATGGACATCTATTATTTAAAATGAAAACAAAGTCGTCAATATTCGATTTTTGGGTATCGAATATCGCGAAAATATCATGATATTATATAGAATAAATAGGGTTAGCTCGCATTAGTTTCTAGTTTTAATCTTCCTCTTTGAAGATGATCGCTTGATGATCGAAACACGTTGCGAGGTGTTGAGAAAAACTCCAGTAATATTGAATACCTACCTAATAAAAATGCCGAGCTCTTGAATACACATTGTACATATCTTATGTGATATGGGATTCCTTGAAATTCAAGTAACCACACTCTTGACGCATCCACCTCTTGAGGGGCAAAGTAATACTTCACCAATCTGGGGACAGCAATGAGCAGGCAGGTTGAGAAATGCAATACCATTGAGAACAAAAGTACAGAGGAAAACAAGAACACAACCGTTCTTGATCGTATACCAAAATACTGAAAATCAAAAGGACAACTGTTACTGTACTGATTTATTCAAGTTCTACACTGTCTGTCAGTGTAACAGTGGATACATTTATACTGCTTTTGGGGATTGTTGATGGTCTTCCGATTTGAGTGAGTTTCTGGAACGTTTCGTTAGTTGTCAGTGTCTTCAAGAATATAGAGATTTGTTCTTTTTTCTCCCTAATGTAATGTTGTAGATCATCCCCTGAAACAAAACACCGGACGCCACTGGTCGTCATAAATCAATTGTGACGTAATGAATGCCGCGCTCAACTCGACGTGCTCTCGCAACTGTTTTAGGTGTCGCGTCTCCAAGATGTTTGACAGAGTCTGGCATGATGGACGTCTAGCCAAAATGATTAACTGTGGCTACACGAAACCAATGGTAAGATTATTCGAGTCTTTTCTAGCTGACAGGCGATGCCGCTGCAGAGTAGGACAATAACTCTCAATGATGCGATTACTGGAAGAGGGGCTACCACAAGGTGCAGTCCTTTCGTCACACCTCTTCTCGGTATACACAGCAGACGTGCCCAAGCCGGAGAACAACTTTAAGAAGTTAGCGCTCTACGCGGACGACACAGCTCTGCTGGCGAGATCAACAAGCCAAGCGCACGTCTCCAGATACTTGCACCAACAGGCAGATAGATTAGAGGAATGGGCCAACCTGTGGAAGATCAGTATAAACCCTGACAAGAGTCAGGCAATACTGTTTATCCGGAGGATGGTACACCCAGAAGGAAACGTCATCTTCAACAGACAAGGGATTCCGTGGATCAACGAAGCTAGATACCTGGGAGGCAACCTAGACAAAAGATTAAGGTTCAGGTCTCACGCACGGCAGAGAATAGGAATAGCGAGATCTGCCCGACAAAACCTATTACCAATAATAGGTCAAAGAAGCAACGTGGGATTGAAAGTGGAGCTGCTGATGATGAAGACCGTAATATTACCGATAATCCTGTATGCCTGCACTGCCTAGAGTCAGTGCGCAGCGACATACAGAAGCCAGATCCAGTCGTTTATGAACGCGTGCGAAAGGGCCGCCGTAAACGCTCCAAGATTTGTACCGAATAGGTACATATTCCGGAATCTAGACCTAAACATACACTACGTAGACGCATACATGAGAAAACACGCAGAGGACACGTTTGGAAGAATTCGACCGCATGACAATCCAGCGCAAAGCGATCTACACAATGCACTGAACAGGGATGACGCCAGATTCCGAGAGAGGGACAAACACAGGAGGCCAACGAAGCAGAACCAGAGACTACCCCCGAGAGTCGCTGTCAGGCGGCTCCGGTAAGTATAAAAATTTCGTAACCAGACTTCAAACTGATCTGATTTTCAGATTCACCGAGAACCAACACTTGCTCGCGACTAAAGACACTCGTCTCCGGTTAGTTTTTGGGAACCCCATGCAATAATTCAGTTAGGAAAGTCAGGATATAACAATACAACAGATACAACAGAATAACGACAACGGACCAATACCAAATAGCATAAATGTTATCCCTGTTATCTGTGTTTTCAAACAAAATTATGTGATCTCCTTCACTAATTGCGTGTTCTGCCACAGATGACTTGCCCGTTTGGCCTAGACTGCAGTTTCTTTTATGCTCTTTTAGTCTTGTTCCCATGGATCGTTTGGTGGTTCCGATATATACCGTTCCACAAGTGCACAGAATGCGATAGACCCCTGCTGCTGATAATAGGTCTCTTTCGTATTTATCCGACCTGAGGCTTTGTTGTATCTTCCTCGTGGATTTGAAGACTGTTTCGATGTCGTGTTTGCCCAATAGTTTTCCAATTCAGTCCGTGACCCTAGGGATAAACGGTAGATATGCGCGTGCAACCATCTGATCCTTTCTCGCTTTCTACAGGTACAAATACCGGTACAACTACAGGTACAAATACAACTGATTACCTGACAAGGCATAAATACGCTTTACGAAGCTAAAAGGTAGTCATCTTACAGCAAGCCATTATGGTTAAACCTCTGAAGGAGCTAGCAACTCGCGCCAGCGAAACGTCAGGAAGAAATTCCAAAAATCCACGGCTTTCAAACTCGAAAAGCAATGACACTGAAAACCTCAGCCCTGAAAATCTAAACTAAACCATTTTAAGTTAAAAAAAGTCACAGTTTAAAGCCAGTAGATACTAAAACACAAAAAATATAAAAATTAATTGTTTATAGAGTTCAAATTCCTGTCTGAATAGAACTCGACGAAAGAATAATAGGCCTTCGAAATCAGAAGCTTTTTCAATTAGCGAATGGTAAAAAAAAATCCATTATACATGAAAGATTTCTCAATTTTTGATGATATTGGAATCGTTAATCTTATATTAAGCTTATTTCTCGTATTTGAACTCGTAATTGAACATTATGCGCATTATGTATCTTCTTTGGGATTTGCGAATACATTTTCAATTCTCATTTTTTCAATTACAAAAAAAAACATCAATTCAAATTTAGTAAATATAAGAATATGAGATTGGAGAAAATAGTCAAAAAGTAGTCAAAATAAACATTTCTCAACGTAGTTCAAACACTAAAAAACCGTTCATTAATTGTTATGTCACTAACTTTTCAAAATTGGCAAAACAATGGTTCCAGTTAGAGGGCGATAAGTTCTCGACAATACATATTGTTGCAGAATAAAAAACATATGTTTAAAATATGTTTTTCCGTTAATCAGCAGGACTAACGAGGTCTTACCTTTTAACGTGAGATTCCTAACACGGGTTGGACAATAGCAAGTAATATCGATCGTTCAGCCTGGGGCTTGAACCACCGACCAACACAGCGGTCGATTCGTGTGAGTGAACAAAGCACCTACGTCGAACCGACCGGCTACCGACCGACCGACATACAGGGCGGATAAACTTATTATACTTACCACCGATAACTTCGAAACGAGCCTTACTTCTGTTAGCAGCCTCACATACTTAAGCGCACAAAATATATTCTGTAGACCAAGTATTCTTCTAATTTCGAAAAATGTCTCGTAGTAATATAAAGAGTATCTAGGAATAGATGAAAGTACGTCTGTTATGAAAAATATACTGAAGACGTAATTCCTGAAACAGAATTGAATAACAGTTATAATGATAATGACATTTATAATGACAATAACAATGATAATGATAATGACGATGACAATGATAATAATAATGATACCGATAATGATATGATTCGTTCCCCACCCTCAGGCTCATACAAGATAATAAGCCTGATGTAGTCCTTCGCGACCACCAGAGCAAAACGATATTTGTCGTGGTTTTCAGCTCCTGGCGAGACGAATATCGTCAGAACGAAAAATTTCAAAGTGCTTTGACAAAGTCCATTATAATGTAATATAGATCGAAGTAGTTGATGATTCAATGTATCAAAAGCTTTGCAAAAGTCGATCAATAGTAGGACAGTGATTTCGTCTTTATCTGATGCTGCGACGATATCATCTAATATGTTCAATAAAGCTGTAGCACAGCTATAGTTTGGTCTGAAACCAGATTGCATAATTGGAAGTATATTGTTGTTGTGAAGGTGGTTTCTCAACTGTTGAGCAATAGCCTTTTCCAAAATTTTAGAAAGAAATGGAAGAAGACTTATAGGACGCAAGTCCTATAAGATGATTGTTCTGATTATTGGAGTCCTTGGTGGAATGATATCCTCTCTACTCTCGAATCTTAAAAGCATACCGGCTTGCCGCACTAAGGTAGAAATCTTAGCCGCACAGATGCAGAAGGCTGTCATTCTTGGCTCAATGCGCTTGCTCAGGGCACATGATTCTCGGACCCAATGATCACTTACTCCACGGTGTGGGGAGTGGTCATTGGTTGATCATGCTGGCGCGCCTCCCGAATGTATCGGGGCTTTGGGGGATAGGGCCTGACCAGCGCACACTACGGTGGAAAAAAATAATGATAATGATAATAACGATGACGATGACTATGACAATTATAATAATAATGATAACGATAATGATAATTATCATGATAATGACAATGATAAAGACCAATGATAATGATGATGAGATATTTGAATTTACTGATCAATAACAATAAAATAAAAATTTCAATATTTACAAATTTTATTCACAAAAGTGGTTCAATGTCTGTCTGTGAATTTTCATTTATTGATAGAAATATTCAGGTATTCTTCAATATCCATTTTGTTACCTTCAAAGTAGTCTCCTACAGATATAACACAGTTGTGCCAGCGTTTTTTCCAACCGTCGTAGATTGGAACTGCATCCTAACGTCGTTTCGCCAGCACAAGTTATGGGAAATATTAAGACTATATCTTTGGAGCCAAGTTATATTCTGGTCAGTTTCGACATTGTGTCCTTGTTCACCAACGTCCCGCTGGAAGATTCTTTGAGAGAGATAGCCAACCTGTTTCCTAGTGATATTGTCGGACTCTTCAATGCCTGCCTCACGGGAATTTACTTCCAATGGAAAGGAGATTTCTATGAGCAATTAGACGGCGTAGCGATGGGAAGTTCACTCAGTACGGGGATAGCCAACTCCTTCATTGAGCAATTTGAGAAGCAGGCTATCGACAGTTTCGATTTCAAACCAAACATTTGACTACGATACGTCAATGACACCTTCGTCATCTGGAGACATGGCACGGACAGATTGAACCTATTTCTAGACTACATAAATGATCAACACCATCATCAAGTTCACCATGGATACTGAACAGGAACAACGGATAGCTTTTCTTGATGTAACCGTTGCAAGGCGTGGCACACGACTGACACACGAAGTTTACCAAAAACCGACACATACGGACAGATATCTGCATGCACTTTGGGACCACCATCCAAGTAAAAAGCGGGGAATTATCAACACCCTGACGGAACGTGCCCGTAGAATATTATGTGAACCGGAACACCTACAAGAGGAATTGGATCATCTTCAAGTGGCTTTAAGATCGAATGTAACAGTGTAACCAAAATCAACAAGGCCATGAAACTAAAGACTTCCACAAGTCGAACTAGGGAGGAAGCTCAAACGGTTGCACGCGATTTCTATCGTACATCCCCAAGGTTAGGGAAAGAATGGGAAAAATCTTAGAGAAACATCATATAAAAACAGTGTTCAAGCCAACCAGGATAAGATATCAAAGCCTGAGATCTGCGAAAGACAAAAGGGAACTCCTATCAGCTGCGGGGGTATATCGTATACCATGCACCTGCGGAAAAGTTTATATCGGTAGCACCAGAAGATCCATGGGTACAAGGCTGAATGAACATCAGAGAAACTGTAGATTAGGTCAAATAGACAAATCGGCAGTAGCGGAACACGCGCTTAGTGATGGAGATCACACGATACTGTTTGAAGATGTGAAACTACTTGCCTCCAATCATGGATACCATAGTCGGCTTATACGGGAAGCCATAGAAATTCATAAAANTATCAAAGGTTCGCCAGGAGCACTTCCAGGGAATATTCTCCAGGAGATATCTATATCCATGGCATATTCATAGCATAATACAATATCCTTGAATGTATATTCATGAAATATTCCTGGAATATCTATTGCTATGTGGGTATAATGTGTACATATATAAAAAAATGAATTTGAACATTCATCTTATTCTTTGAATAGTCAGGTACACTTCATTCAGCAATGAACCTTCCTAATAACTAGTTATAAATCGAATACCCATTGGCAAGTGATTTAACATTTTCTAGGCATCATTTATAATATACTGTTTTTTGGATGTTTCGTGTGTATGCCGTGTAACTGAGAATATGGATTTTTTTTTCAGCTTAACTGCTCTCAATCCCATTGTTTCACCGTCATAATGTCAATTTCAATCTTTGCAGTTTCCAGAGTCACCCAGTATAAGAAAATAGAAAGAAAATTAACCCTACGTATCTTATTTTCAGATTACGAACAAGATCTTGTCACACAGTACGAAATAATCAAAATTACTATCAAAACAACTTTCTAATAAATTTTGACTAGTATCAAACATTTCGCAAGCGATAGTGATATTGAAATAATTCAAACTACTTACCTGGCTATCATTTTCGGTTCCATCACTACAGCTTTTGTGGTTCTATCTACATAACCCATGAAAAATTTCATAGTAATATCAAACCATGATAAAATATCAAGGATCAGAGACATTAGTCGATAACGTGGAAAGAAGTATGTGACACCCTCATGCCTACCAATGGAACCATCAACTGGCTTGGTTATCAGAAGCAACAAGTACAAGAGGAAGACGTATATATCATAAAATTGCCTGAAATCGTAAGTTATTATTACTATCAAATCAGACAGAAACGGCCCGAAGAACTTTAAATTCTTTCTGACCAAATAAAGAGTTCAAGTATACGGTACATGTGAACCTTTAATCTCGAAATTTCGATTTTAAATACGAAATTTCAAAGGTAAGGGCCAAATATTATTTGTTTATTTGATCCACCATAATTTCTTCCAGTTTATGTCTGAAAGTTACTTCTTTGTATGATCTACACATCTATGTATAGAGAAACTTTTTCGTAATTGATTGCTTCCTTCTTCTCTTTGGAAGATTCCCACATTTTTTTGTATCAAGATGGAGTAGTAGAAAGCCAAAAACTTTCTTTCCCAAAAATTAATTACCCTAAGAATAAAACCCATCTAAATTAATCAAGATGTCTTCGGAAATTGTTATGGAAATAACGTTTTTGTAGTTGTGCATTTCGTATGCATTAATATGTTACGCTCAAGTTGTTAAAACAATAACAGAGACTGAAGTTGAGACAAGGACTTGAGACAAGGAGTTGATATACTCCCGGCGAGTGTCTGTTCAAAAAATAGCGTGAAAGTTCCAATTTCGCGGTCTATGTACATTTGATTAGAATAAACGAACATTTTTTGAAAAATGAAAATTCACTTTATTTTATGAACAGACCTCATCCAGCAGAGAATGATCACGTAATTAGAAACTCGTTGCTAAGTGATACTTTGAGTTTGCTAAAATGAGTTCACGAGCGATTCGGAGTAACTGGAGTAATATTGAGTTTATGAGCACTGGCCAATTTGAATATCTTTTCGACACATTTTTCGTCAACTTACCTGAATCTGCTGAGGGGATGANAGTCTGAGATCTGCGAAAGACAAAAGGGAACTCCTATCAGCTGCGGGGGTATATCGTATACCATGCACCTGCGGAAAAGTTTATATCGGTAGCACCAGAAGATCCATGGGTACAAGGCTGAATGAACACGGCAGTAGCGGAACACGCGCTTAGTGATGGAGATCACACGATACTGTTTGAAGATGTGAAACTACTTGCCCCCAATCATGGATATCACAGTCGGATTATACGGGAAGCCATAGAAATCACAGAACTAGAAATCACAGGTAATAACACTTTGGCCAGTAGCGACGCTTCAAGAAGAGAGACGGACTACGACAGACTACCTTACCTGAGTCAACATACATACAACTTACGAACTAGAAATCACCAGTAATCGGTGAATCATCAAGATGAATAAATCTCTGAACAAGCCTGCCACTTGTGCTGGCGAATCGTTAGGATGCAGTTTTATGCCTCTCTCCAACAAACTGAACATGCTAAACAGCTGAAACTGTGTACATATACCCACACAGCACCAGATATTCATGGAATATTCCACGCGCTTAGTGATGGAGCGATAGTGATATTGAAATAATTCAAACTACTTACCTGGCTATCATTTTCGGTTCCATCACTACAGCTTTTGTGGTTCTATCTACATAACCCATGAAAAATTTCATAGTAATATCAAACCATGATAAAATATCAAGGATCAGAGACATTAGTCGATAACGTGGAAAGAAGTATGTGACACCCTCATGCCTACCAATGGAACCATCAACTGGCTTGGTTATCAGAAGCAACAAGTACAAGAGGAAGACGTATATATCATAAAATTGCCTGAAATCGTAAGTTATTATTACTATCAAATCAGACAGAAACGGCCCGAAGAACTTTAAATTCTTTCTGACCAAATAAAGAGTTCAAGTATACGGTACATGTGAACCTTTAATCTCGAAATTTCGATTTTAAATACGAAATTTCAAAGGTAAGGGCCAAATATTATTTGTTTATTTGATCCACCATAATTTCTTCCAGTTTATGTCTGAAAGTTACTTCTTTGTATGATCTACACATCTATGTATAGAGAAACTTTTTCGTAATTGATTGCTTCCTTCTTCTCTTTGGAAGATTCCCACATTTTTTTGTATCAAGATGGAGTAGTAGAAAGCCAAAAACTTTCTTTCCCAAAAATTAATTACCCTAAGAATAAAACCCATCTAAATTAATCAAGATGTCTTCGGAAATTGTTATGGAAAAAACGTTTTTGTAGGTATGCATTTCGTATGCATTAATATGTTACGCTCAAGTTGTTAAAACAATAACAGAGACTGAAGTTGAGACAAGGACTTGAGACAAGGAGTTGATATACTCCCGGCGAGTGTCTGTTCAAAAAATATCGTGAAAGTTCCAATTTCGCGGTCTACGTACATTTGATTAGAATAAACGAACATTTTTTGAAAAATGAAAATTCACTTTATTTTATGAACAGACCTCATCCAGCAGAGAATGATCACGTAATTAGAAACTCGTTGCTAAGTGATACTTTGAGTTTGCTAAAATGAGTTCACGAGCGATTCGGAGTAACTGAAGTAATATTGAGTTTATGAGCACTGGCCAATTTGAATATCTTTTCGACACATTTTTCGTCAACTTACCTGAATCTGCTGAGGGGATGAATGATATAAATATGCTTGGATGTCAGCTGCTTCAGTTTTTCTTCTTTGAGGGAACTTTCGCTTCTGAAATAGAATGGCATCAGGGGATTTTTGGCTGAAATTATGATCATCTCCACGTATACAGATTTTAGTCGGGACCAACAACTTCTTTCCTGCATATTGTCTTCATTTTCACTTTTAAGTATACATTTATGCGGCATTGTTGTCGCTAACAAAATTGGAAGTATTGTTGTGTTTATTATTAAAAATGGGTTTCCATGGTGACGAGCACCATATTGAATAAGATGCTTAGAAACCCTGGTGTGTTCACTTGGACTCCTCACCATGTGTCAAAAACAGTTCCATCAAAATCGGATAGGGGTAATTTCAATATCAATATAAAAAGGATTTTTTTGGGGAAGCTCCATCTTAGATATGTTGATACGTGACTAGCAACACTTCATTGAAAAGCCCTTCTTAGTGCTCATATATATAATATTTCCAAATCAGCTTGGAATTATTCATTGAGGGAATAAAATGTATTGTCATGTAACAGTTTTTCAACATTTTTTTTGAAGGAATGCAGGTTTGATAGCTGTCTAAGAGAGATAGGTAGTTTGTTGTATAACTTGATGGGCATAATTAGAGGGCCGTTTGCTGCTTTCGTCTATTTAATTACTCAAAATATAATCAATGTACTTGTTCCAAGAGAGGTGAACATCAATGTTCAAACCTAAAAATTTTACAGATGAGATTTGTTATATTGGCTTGCCATTTATTTTGACCAGAACATTGCGATCATTCTCATATAGTGAAAAGACGATTGTATTAGTTTTCGAGCTGTTCAGAATGGGACCATTTTGAGAACAATATTTTTGCATATTAGCAACTGCTTGATTGGCCTGACTTGACAATCCATCATAATCTGAAGACTTCATAGTGAACGAAGAATCGTCGGCAAATTGCACTGTACAATGTTAACGATAAGTGTTGTTGTGGTCATCTACGAATAAAAGGAAGATAATAGGTCCTGGGACGCTACCCTGGGGAACACCTTTATCGAGATTAGAAATGACTTCATTGACTTAATTCATCGTGGCATCCTGAGTGGACTTGTCAATTTGGAAGCCATATTGACAGTCTGGGATGATTTTATACTTCTTTGAAGAAGATTTTAGTCTTCTTTGATAAGTTTTCTCGAATATTTTGGAAAATACAGATAGTAACGCAATTCCTCTGTAATTGTAAACCGAGTGCTTGTTATTTTTCTTATGCATAGGCACTATTATTGCATGTTTGAGTCGAGTAGGGAATACACCTTCGACTAAGGATATATCAATTAGGTATAAGAGGGGTTCTATCAAATTTTCAACCACCTTGAACAAGAGGTTGCAAGGTACTTCATCCACGCCACTGGAAGTCTAAGAAGATATCGACTTCACTATCTCGAGTAGTTTCATCCAGAGGATATAAAAAAGTGAGTTGGAATTGATGTCACAGTTATTTACTAAAATAGAAGATATTTCTTTGACTAATTTTTGGACAGAATTGAAGAAGTAATCGTTGAATGTTTGGGAGATATCAACACCCTCGTTTACAGATAATTCATTTTCATCAATAACATATTTTGGCAAGAATTGGCTTTTTTTATCACATGCGGTATTTTGTTTGATTATAGTCCAGGCAACCTTAGATTTATTAGTGGCTTCAAAAAATTTGTGGCCGAAGTAAGACTTCTTTAAAGTTTCTATCTTTTGTCGATGCTGTTTCAAAAGTAATTTATATTGTTGGTTAATGATTTCATCAGATCGGATTTTACTGATGTGGAAAATATCTCTGAGGTTGAGAAATGAGTCATAAAAAATAGAGAATTTTTCATCAGCATAACTGTTGTTGGAGTATATAGATAGCCAATCCTCACGAGCCAATAAAGCATTCAAAAAGTGAATGTTTTGATCACAGTAGGATCTTTTAAGAAAATAATTGGTTATCTTTACAGTAGGAGCGGTGATTGGTGAAACTATATATTGGAGTGCATGATCCGAGAAATATATGTGACTGACGGTGGAATTAGAGATATTGGATGTAGAGGAAAAAATATTGTCCACCGTAGACATGCCATTGCCCTGTATTCTTGTGTAATCGAAAATACATTGATTCAATCCGTGAGAGGCAAATAAATTACGCAGATAAATTGCATTGCCATCAGTGGAATTCTTATGGAAGTTGAAATTAAAATCACCACAAACGATACAAGAGGTTTGAACATTTTTTTCAAAAAGAGAATCGAGAAATAGTTCCATATTATGTATGAATGAATCAGATGGAAGATTGAAAAAAACGGCGATTTTTGAATTGGTTCAAGAGAAATGAGAGAGTTTTCACGGAAAAAACCACGACGTTTTCTGGCCATCCATCACTCTTCAACAGTAACTGCTTACAAGATTTGGAAATACCCAATTTGAACGCACTGTTTTTCCCTTTGCTGCTCAACTTGTAACACTTGATATTTTGATCTGGAAATGATTCCTTCAGAAAAGACTGCATTACTTCATTATCAACCAGTCCTTTGATTTTTCCAACATAAAGCCATTCCAACTCTGCTTCATTTGGAACGCCTTGCATCATCATGTTGGGTTTCTTACTGGATCCAGTAATTAGAATTTTGGGATTACTACCTGGTTTATTAGCGGATGACTGGGGAACTCAGTCATTGGCCTTGACTTTTTTTGCCGAGTTATTTTTGGATATCGGACTTTAGATATGGCTCGGGTAGAAAAGAAGCACTTTGTTTTTGTTCCGAGTTGATACTTGGTTTGCGCATTTTTTTGTCCGATTCAATAGGAGCATTGATAGTCTGATTGTTGGCAAAATGATTATAACCGACTATTTGCTTTTTCAGAAGGAAAATAATTTCTTCTTGGTCATGTAGTCTTTTAGTCATCTGTTCGAAAAGTTTTTCTAATAGATTCACTTCGCGATCGACTTGTTGAAGTTTACTCGCGGCAAAGAGGCATTCCGATTTCGAACAACGCACGGATGATTTATTATCAAGTCTGAGGTTTAACTTGAGTTAATACCACTCGATAGGTTAACAAGGAGATTCTGTAAAATGATTCTCAGAATAACTATCTGGTAAAACTCTAATCACTATGAGATCGATTATTTCGCTTTTCTCTAATTTATTAAGTCCAGCTGCTAGCACACCCGCTCGCTTGGCGACATGTTCACAACAATGTAGGTATCTGTAGAGTAGGAACGGTGAGTGTAGACCCACAGCATCTAGTCCACATGTGACCCATTGTACATCCTCCCGAGGTGTTGTCCTCCTAGGTCATCGTCTATCCAGTACTTTCCAGAAAGGTGGACAGGTCACTAGGCCTTTATATTGGTAGGTGTAGGCCAAGACTCGGCGAACACACTCTCTTTGGCAACCTTGGAAGGTGCAGCGACATTACTGTCGTTGCGCGGCTTCTTCAACCTTCTTGGGGTTCCCTCCGTGGAGGTGTACAAGTGAGAGAGCTTTCCTGCAGGAGCAGCCGGTTCCTTGCCTTTATTCAATGCGGAGCTCTTGGCGCCCGCCGCAGGAAGTGCATTTGCTGTTGGAGGTGGAGTGGGGGAAGAGGAGGGTGCACTTATAGTAGCTGCCACTCCTGCTTCCTTCGCTCTCTTTCTCCTTTTGGCCTCGGCACCGCACCCCTTTGTATTAAATCACGAGGTGATCTGCTATGTCCAGCCTCATTCCAAGTGATAGATTGGGGTAGACATTTCTTTTCATCCCCAGCCATCGCCTTAGATTGAGGTGAGCACTTCTGTCCAGCCTCGAGATTTGTTTCTGTTTTTGTTGTTTCTGTTTTTGAGTTTGTTTCATTCATGTGTGTTCCCACGAGGAGCAAAAAAATAGTTGGTTACCTCTGGCAGAGCCCCGCATTACCAGAGGTAGGCTGATTACAATGAGGTTTTGCCCAGTTCTCCAAGGGGTAACCGCATATCACCCTGCGGCCATTCAGCTGTCGGCACGATTCCTTACACCTTAGCTTGGGTAGGCTGGTTCACGGTGGCATGTTTTGCAAAGACTTTTGGGGAGTTTTAGTCCCCTCACCCTACTTATTTCTGCCACCGACCAGGAGCCCAGCGATCCCGTGTGTAAGGCCACATTGGCTTTCCGGACAGGACCTCCAGCCCCCTGGCCGTTCCCCTCCAGTGTGGTCATGTCGGGTCGTCTCGCTGGCCATTCCAGTGGCCCATGTCTTCCAATCCCCTAATTAGAAAAAAAAATGTCCAAATGTTCCGTGACAATTCCAGTGTTTTTGTCTGGTCCTCATTGGCAAAGGTTTTACCGGTGAGAAAGTTATTGAAGTGCTTGAAAAATGGTAGTCGGTTAGCAAGAGGTCAGAGGAGTATGGTGGGTGACGCAGAACTTCGACGCTCATATCGTCTAATTTTTGAACGATGACTTGTGAAACGGATGAGCGTTGTCGTGGAGCAGGATAGGACCTCTTCTATTGACCAGTGCCAGTGTGGTCCGCGGCTGGACCACTATACCGTAACAATGTTATTTTTGGGTGAGTTTCGGCTTTTCTGAAGTGCCTGGGTGGCTCATTGTTGTCCAACCACTCTTCTGGACATCTTCTGTTGTGGTAGATAATCTGCTTTTCATCGCACGTGACAGACTTATGGTCAACCCATTCAGGGTAGAAAACTAAACCAAGTTCATGGGCCGTTGGGACTGCTGCTACGAAAAGAAATGCATCAACTCCTTTCATGTTCACAGACCATGTAATATTCAATATTTCTGATAATTTTCACATCACAAACGCGGTAAGAATGGTACAGATATTCAACTTGACTTTTCAGTTGTAGATTTTCTTCTTTGAATCGATTTATTTTGAAACTATGTTTATATATCATTATTAAAGTTCCTTGACTGGTGTTGGAGGAGTTTTAAAATGACTTCGATATGAAAATTGTTCTTTGATTTGATGTGATTCTGCCAGTTCCTTGCCGAGAAAGTTCGAAAATAAATCGAATCGAAGAAAAAAATTGTAATCTTTAGTTGATTTTTTCAGTTCTGGAAACGAAGGCAAATTTTAACCTCCGTAACATTGAGACATAAGTATCTCTGCAATTTTTTGCCATTTTATTTACAGGCAAAATTATAAAACAAAATAAGTTTTTGATGAGTAGAAAAATATAATTTACGTAATAATTTATCGGGGAGGATCAGAAGTTTGCCATTCTACACCTGT